CCTGCAGATAGACACGTTAACCTGTTGGCAAGGGCCTTTGAAGGCTTAAGACCCTGTGGTGTGTCCCGGAACCAGCCCCCTCTCCCAGCCTGGCTTCCTGTCTGTGAGCCGAGAAGGTGGCCCCACCTGCAGCCCATGGCTGCTGCAGGGACCGGCCAGCAGGGAGGTGGATGGCCAGGACGAGTACTGACTAACCAGACCCTGGTGACGCATCCTTCTAGGAAGAGAGGTGAAACCCCCCAGAAAGGCCTCCCGTTCCGCCTGCCTCCTGCTTTCACAAGTCACTTGAGTCATCAGGGTTGCCCATACTTGTCCCGCTCTCCTGTTTTGTTAAAGTGCTGAGGCTTGTGGCCAGGAGTGTCCCCTCCATGGACCCCTGGGACATCAGAACTAAAGGGCTTGGTGGCTTCCTGATTTCTGCTAGGCACTCAGCCACAGTCTCTGGGGTAAAGCCGGCTTCCGGGCTCTTAACACTACTGAAGGAACTTCCCTGGTCTGAGCCTCAGTTTCCTCATCTGTGGATTGGAGGGCAAGTCCAGCACAGTGCACGAGAGCTGCGCCGTCCCTGCTCATTCCTCTCCTTCCTGCCTAAGACCCATGCTCACCCGGGATTCCTCTGGGCACGGAAGATGTTGATGTGCCCATGTCCTCCCCCCCCACTGCATGAACAGAGGGCCCCTTGGCTTGGCCAGGAATCCTGGAGGCAACAGACCCTTGATTGCCAGCCGCAGGGGAGCCCAGGGTGCAGCCCTCTCTGCCTTTTGATGAGCACCCAGGGCACAGGAGAAAGACCTAAAGCAAGGAGACCATGAGCCCTGACTGAGACCCAGAGTCTAAAGCCCGTCTTCCTGAGTGGCCTGGCGTCATATTGGCATTCATAGGCAGGTGCCACAATGGGCCCAGAGTAGAAAGTGGGGGCCTGAAGCTGAGCCCCACCTCGCTGCCAGCCCTGCCCACCCCTGAGCCATTTCCTCATCTCAGACACAGATATTCCTGCAGAGCCTGCCTCTCGGGATGTCACGAGGTCCCATGAGACATGGGGGCGGAAGTCCCTCTGCAGACTCTCAGGACCTGCCCAGATGGGAAGAATTTGTCATCTGCCATCCCTTGGGGCATTTTTGTATCTCTTTTACGCGGGTGGTTGGTGAGGGTTGAATAGATGAGTGATAACAGCTGTCAGTTATAAAGCACCCACTTACACCAAGCGTGACCCAAAGAAACTTCCAGAAGATGCTCTCTCATCCTCCTACCCTGCCCCAGAGTTTGAGTTCGTGCCCATTTTACAGATAAGGAAGCCGAGGTTCAACAGGAGAAATAACCTAAGGTCCCTGGCCAGTGTCCAGGGAAGCCAAGATTCACACCTTCTGGGTCACCCCCTCCACGGGGAATGTTTAACGAACAGTTCCACGGAGGGTGTGTACAAATCCCATATTTGTAGCATCTTCTAGTTTCCATAGTGTAAATATTCTTGCCATGGCTCAGTTCAAGCACATGATATCAACTGTCTCATAAAATCCCTGAAATTTTTTTTTCAAAAACAGCCCCCACGTGCCAGTTTCATGCATCTCTGTGTTCCCTGTGGACAGCACCCCAGATCCCTGAGCTAGACCAGCAACCCAGAGCTAGATCTAGATACCCCTGCACTGCTCCCCACCCAAGGCCCTGAAGCCCCCAGGATCCCCAGACCACACAAGACAGGCGGAAGGATGGGTCTGCACCGCCATGGCTAGAATATTCAGACACGCCAGCCCCACCCGTGCGATATTCCTGCCGGGCCCGGAGCAGAGCCCTGTAAACGCCAGGATATAATGGACAATAAAAGTCACTGGAAAATAGTGACTCTCCTAGGACCACTGTCATCCCTGCCACATGCTGCCTGCCAGAACCACAGGCCCTGTGATCACGAGGCACGGCTGTCATGTAAATATATAGGGTCTCTTGCCAGTCGCAGGCAGGCCAAGATTTATTTTATTGAGAGTGCGGGGGAGGGGGACCGGCTTGGGTCCCTCGACCTGGTAATTTTGTAAAATGCTTTGCCATTGCTTCCCAGCCTCTGGGAGGATGAAGCAGGAGCCAGGTGCTCTCTCTCTGGTGAGGGCTCGGGCCATATCTGCAGGGCCAGTGCCCTGATCCTTGTCCAGGAGCCTGGTGTCCCCGGGGAGTGGACGCTGGCGACACTGGGAGCTGTCTCTTGAATGAGCCTCAGTGGTTTATAATCACACCACAGTGCCACAGTAGCCTCTGTCACTGAGCTCTTGTGTGACCTCGGACCCTCTGGGCCAGCGCTTTACCTGCACGCCGTCACTCAGTCTTGCACTGGCCATACACGGGACCTGTGTGGACAGAGGAGGGAGCAGCAAAGAGGTGACCGTGGGCCTGCCTCACCCTCACATGGCCAGACAGAGGCAGCACAGGGTTTGAAGTCCAGCCTCAGCCTCTGCTGGGCTCCCTGTTGGCCTCCTCCCTGGTCACCTACTGTCCCCTCGTGTGCTGTCCCCCTGAGATTGCCTCACACAACACAGGTGAGAGCTCTGGCTGGCCCCGCCTCCACCCTCGTGCCCAGCCCACCCCATTTTCTGATTCTCTACAGACAGCTGGGGCCTGTGTGTTTATCCAAGCTCTGCCTCTGTCTGCTCGTCTGTCAAATGGGTGCCCTGTCCACCTTGCAGGGTTGATTTGGGAGTGCACACTGCCAGTGTCCCTGGAGGATGTGGTCCAGTCCCAGTCACCTAGGAGTTTTCTGCAAGTGATGCCCCTCTGCATACACACAACACCTGCCTGGCCATGGCTGGGAGCCCGGGAGCCACATAAGCCCTGGTGTGAATAGGGAGAGCGGTGTGCAGGAGCTGAGGGCTCAAAATATGTTCCTAGGCCAGGGAGCAAATCCACTTAGCCATTCCAGACCCAGAAGATCTGGGTTTTCTTCTAGAAATGAACACATGGTTGGATACCAGGTTCCCCAGCTCAGTTTTAGGGAAGCCCGGTAAGGTACAAATCCATCAGCCTCGTAAAACTTATCAGTGGTGGAGCCCTATCCACTTTACTCTGTGTTTGGAGAAACTGAGGCCCAGAGGTGGGTTATGGTTTATCCACGTCACCTGGCCGCCAGTCTGCACACGCTATGGCTCAGAGTGAAGATCATTCCAGAAGAGTTAGAAGGGGTCACATGTGTCCCAGGCCAAACTCAGGTCCAGTGAGGATCCGGTCAGGAGGGTAATACAGGAAGTCACCACTGAAGCGCTGATTGTGTGCCAGGCTTGTAACCCCAGGGGGATGGCAGGACTGGGTGGAGGAGACAGTGTCACTGAGACACACTGAGCCATACTCAGCTGCTTGGAAATGAGGCTGGGGCTTGGTGTGTTTCTCAGAAGGCCCAGCCTGGCCCACTTGGAATCTTCTCTAGGAACTGAGGCTGGCAGTGCCCACCTTACCGAGTCACGGAAGTCATGGGTGTATGGCCACCACGTCCTGGAGTGAGCCTGGGCCTCGAATCCAGTCCCTGAGAACCCATGGAATCGTGGCCTGGGCCCAGCTGCAGCCACCCAGGGGTCCAGCACCTGACACGTGCCCAGCGGTGGGGAAGGTGTGCTGACAGGTGGCCGGGCCCTGGTGCCAGGGTCTGGCTCTGCACAGCCTCTACAGCCTCAGCTGCTGTGTCCTGTGCCAGCTGCCATGTGCCCGTGCCAGCCCCCAGGTTGGTGGGGCTGCAGATGAGGTGGGGAGACGTGCAGGGTGGAGGTGGCTCTGGCTCTGGGGGAAGAGGCAGGTGTGCCACGGGGAACCCCCTCGAGGGCCTGCAACACTGTCTGGCCGCCGTGCCTTCGAGCCCACCGTGTCTGTGCCCTGAACTTCCTTCCCCTCAGTCCACTCCAGCTGTCCATAGGGCTGCGTCGGACACCGCCCTGGTGTGGAGCTGTCTGTGACATGGCCTCCCCTCTCCCTAGAGCCCTAGTGTGCTCTTTTCCGGCTGTGGATGTCTGTGCTGGGGTTCTGGCTTGTGGACATCATGAGAGCTGGACTTCGTCTGTGGCATCCTGGAGGCATCAGTTGAGGCGCTGCTGGGAAAGAGGAGCACTCAGAGTCCCCAGTCCCTGGGCCTGTGGAATCAAACAGTGACCTGTTGATTGGGCCTCTGTTGGGTGCCAGGCCGGAGCTAAGCATTTCAACCCTTGTAATGTCACAGAAACCTGTAGCGGCCCAAGGCAGTAGGTACTGTTCTTATCCTTGTTTTGCCTTCGAGGATACTAGGCACACACTGGGAGATGTGGCAGAGCTGGACTTGAACCCAGGACTGCCACCTGCCAAGCTCTCAGTGCCATGGACAGCAGACACATTTGGCCCTGAGTGCAAAGGAAGGAATAATAAGGGCTAAGTGTTTGAAGGGACAGCAAGGATTCTGTGCTTCTTAGCATTTGCTGGCCCCAGTGGGGGCAAGTGGGGATGGAGCATAGGAGAAGGGAAAGACCCTTGTCCCTCCCAGAGCCCAGACTGGCTTCTCCCAGCTTCTGCTGTCCAAATGCCCAGGAGGCAGGGAGGCTGGCAACCTGCAAAAATCCCCTTGCCTGAGCTGTCTGGGTGTGGCGTCCATTAAGGGAGCCCCTCTCTGGGCATTCCTGCCCTTCCCCTGCCCACGGCCCTGGGAAACCTTGTGTCGTCCTGCCTCAGTTTCCTTGTGAGTCAAATATGGAAGCAGGATTCCACTTCATTCCCAGTTGTGCTGGCTCCAACACCAGCCCATGGCCACTGCCGCCAGCTTAGGGTCCCTGATGAGCTGCGGGCTTCAGGGCGGCCCCAATAAGCTCCATTCGCCATAGAGGTGGCAGCGGAGCTATTTTTGGACCAGTGTGTGGTAGGGGAGTTTCCTTGTGGTGACGCCTGGGGACTGGAGTCTTGGGAAGGGGAAGTCCCATGCACAGATGGAGTAGCTCTTGTCTTTCACCCATCTCAGCCCAGAGACTGCTCGGGTTCCTGGAGGTGCCGGCCAGTGGAGACCTTCCCAGAACTGCCTGGGCGCCCCTGTGAAAGGTACGAACGCAGCTTCTGGCAGCCTCCTGCTGTGAGGAGCCACTCGCCCTTTCCTGCTACCTGTGCCCTCTGGGAGTCTATACCCAGCAAGGGACAGGGGAGCCTGGCCCGAGAGACCTCCAGGACCTGTGTTCACAGGGCCACCTGACCTGGCTGCACCTCTGCCACCTGTTGCTTGCCACCTGCCTGCCCCGCAGGGTCAGCCAGCGAGGGCACAGTGCGGTCGGCCAGGGCGGTTGCTGCCTGCAGGTTTCGGGTTGAGTGATGCCTAGCTGGGCCATAGCTTCTGCAGTGGTGAGGGCAGCAGAAAGCACAGCCCTCCTCCTGGGGTCCTGGGCCCCGTCCTGCAGGAAGGAGAGGGATTCAGCACTATCCTGGCTAGGAACCATGGGGGCCCAGGGCGAGCTGGTGACAGACACTGCTTCCTGCCAGCCTCCTCGCGGACGCACTGCAGCTGTCCTTCCTTCTGCTCGTGTTTGCAAGGAGTAGCTATGGTCAGGGACAGGAGATAGGAGGAGAGAATTTCTGCTCTGAGACAGGTGTGGTGACGCCTGCCTGCAACCCCAGCACTCGGGAGGCAGGGGCAGAAGGATGGCCATGAGTTCAAGGCAAGACCCTGTTGCAAAACAAAACAAAACATTCATCCACACCTGCAGGGCTGTGTAGATCCATAGGTAATTCTTAGTTCTCTACCTTCAAGGAAAGCTCCATGTCAAAGGAGAGGAAGGCACATGGTTAGGCAGAAACAGCATGAAGGACCAGGATTGTAGAGCAGGGACAGGCCATCTGGGGTGTCCGGGAAGACCGCCCGGAGGAGATGCCTAGGTGGCCTTGAAGGAGGAGCAAGGTTTGGCAGGAGGCAGCTCCCCCTGGCAGGGAAGCAGTGTCTGCCAAGGTTCTTGGGGTTGAGCAGGTTCATTTCTGGAAGGCAGGGGTCCTTGGGACCATAGCTGTGCTAAGGAGTCTTGGGCTCCCGGCAGGAAGAGATCCCCATTTTCCCTACAAATTGGGTTTGGGATCAGAACAGGTTCGACAAGCCACGTGAGCTTGACGAGTCACCAAGTTCTGTGAGCCTCGGTTTCCTCATCTGTAAAATGGAGGAATGTGCTGATAGGAGGCCTTCACAGCATCCCCCGGGGCTGGGGCCAGGCTTGGACCCCGGGCTCCCCAGCCAGAACCCCAGTGCCTCTCTGTCCCTTTAAGTGACACACGAGATGGTTACAACCCTACATTCTTACTCTTCTAGAATTTGCTTTATTACCCAAGGAAGAGGAAGTGAAATGTGATCGGTAGCCTTCTCAGTTTTAGAAAAGGTCCTGGGGCCCGGCAAGCATGGTGTGGTTTGCTTTTGAATCTCCAGGTGTCTTGGGTGATCGATCTGTGACTGGGGGATGCTGAGGTTTCCTGGGGTTTCAGGAGGAAGGTAAGAGCCTCTCCGCCTTTTGGGCAGCGTGTGTCAGTCCTGTTTTGTGCCAGTCCTGGGCAAGACACTGGAGGTCTAGAGGTGACTGCTGCTGTCAGTCTCTGCTCTTAAAGGCCAGTATCAGAGGCAGACTCCGTGACAAAGGAAGCAGTTCGTGCCCCAACACGATTTTGGGGAAAAGCCAGTGCGGACCCCGACCCTGGGGAAGGGAGGCACTTGGTTGCCTGCTTGTGCCTGGAGTCCTCTGAGCCACTCTTTGAGGTCTGGCTGTCCCCTGTCTTTATGGACAAGGATGTTGAGGCTTAGGGAGGGGATGGGACTTTCCCGAGGCCCCACCAGAAGGGCTGAGCCTGACTCCACAGATGAATGCACCTTAGCCGGTGTAGAAGGTGGGGATGGTTCTTCCAGGCTGAGGCAGTGCGTAGAAGAGTCCGGAAAGACTGTCACTGGGGAGGCATGGCCCTGCAGTGGGGGCACACGAAGCGGGCAGACTAGTGCCAGCTGGGCAGAGCTTGAGGTGGGGTTGGCCTTTGCGGTGAGCTTTGAGTGGGGAACCTTCGGTATTAGGAAAATTTCCATGGTGGGCTGGAGGTGGGACCAGAGGAGAGCATGAGGACAGCCGGGGCTTTAGGATGGAGACATTTGGAGAAGAATCAGCAGCGCTGCATGACCAGGTGTGGCCATGAGGAAGACAGGAGTCAGACCACACCTGGTTCCCACCCAGTCCTTCAGCTAACAGAGGTGACTCTGTCACTAAGATGGGGACCCAGGGAAGGGCGGGAGGAGCTCCCACTCAGGTGCGTTGAGCTTCCCATGCCTGTGGCTGTTGATAGCTGAGGTCTGGAGAGGAGGGTGGCGGTGGGCAGTGGACATGGAGAGCTGAGCTAGGAGGACAAGTTGAGCAGGGTGACCAGGGAGGCAGGTGGGTGCCAGGGCAGTCGGCTCTAGGTCCTGCTTTCCCACCTGGGCGTCCTGGCTGCTCCGGGGAAAGGGGAGCATTAGGAACCTCTGCACTCTCCTTCCAGGGCATGGCTTCTGGTCAAGAATGCCCCTCAGAGAAACCAGGCTTCCCTGGGCTGTGGAGCCACAGAATCTCAGCAGTGTGTGTGGCCTTCGGATGTCACAGGGGGAGGGTACAGAACCATTCCGGAAACCAGACACCATCTGTGGCTCATCCCCTCAGCTTGACAGGCCCCACAACTCTGGTCGGATAGCTGGCTGCTTCCTGTCAAGTGATGAATGGGTAACGTCTGGTTATCCCAAGACCAGACAAGAAGGGGCCCAGGGCAAGGGAAGGGCACAGCAGCCTGAGCAGCATCTCTGGACAGAATCCATCCACCCATCCATCCAACCACCTCCATCCCATGCATTCATTCACAAACCCCTCTTCCATGGTGGTATGGATGGACCAGGGCAGACTTGGCTTCAGGCGTGGATTCTGCCCATCACCTGCTGTGTGACCTTGAGTCCACTGTGTAACCTGTCTGAGCTTTCATTTCCTCCTTTGCAGTGTGGTAGCATTAGAGGAGCCACGCTGGTGGGGTCTGCAGGGAGCACGCCTAGAACTAGCACAGTCCTTGCTGTTATCATCAGATGCCCCATCGGCTGGTCCACGTAGGCAGGGCCTTCCTGACCACCGGCTTGGGCTGGGCCTCTTCAGTCCATTGAATTTCTCTGCTTCTCAGTTGTGCCCATCTGAGAAACAGGTCAGTGGAAGCTTCCTCCAGTGTGGACTTGGCAAGTCATGGTTCTCCTTGGAGAGCCTCATTCACCCAAGAGGGCCGATGGCACCCGTGTGCCCTAGGAGATGTGAAATCACTGTGGATATCGGTGCATGCTGATGCTGGTCCAATGGCCAGGCGCGGCGAGCCACGATGTCTCTTTGCTGGGCCCCAGATCCTCAGCTCTGTGGTGGGTGATTCACTGAGGAAGGAAGGAAACCCGAGGTGCTGAGCATGCAGCATCTCACATAGGAGAGGGAGGCTGGGGGCTAAATCAGCGCCTTTCGCAGAGAAACTGCATGGAGTACAGCATCCAGCCACAGCTCCTTCCAGGGCCACCTGTGTGGTTCTCCTGGGCCTTGGCCACCTCCACCCTGCCTTGAAGGACAGTGTGAGGATGTCCTGGGCTCACAGCCTATGGACGGACGTCAAGAACGCCGGCTGTGTATGTGTGTGCACGTGAGCGCAGAGGACAGCAGGCCGGACACGCACTGATGTGCACCCACACACCCTTGCACGCTTAGACCTTTGCATCTGCTCCAGGCAGGTCCTTAGCTGGAGCCCTCCTGTGTCTTGCATCATCTTTCACAGGGAGGGCCTGGAGCTATCAGCCTCTGCAAGGGGTGCTGTGTGCCCCTAGATGAAATTTCGAGAAATTGGGAGGCCCAGGGCCAGATGACAGTCTTGGTGGGAAAGGTGCTTGGAGCCTCTGAGCCCAGGCCTGTGCCGCAGCCTGTTCCTTCCAGGGAGTTGAGCGGAGTCTGTGGCCATGAGGACTCACAGGGTGGCCAGGGAATCAGTAACCCGGGGCCCATCAGCCCTTCCTTGGCGCTCACCAACTGCATGGCCCCCCGGGGCGAGGCCCTGCCCCTTTCTGAGCCTCCCTTTCCATGACTGTAACTTTTCTGCTCAGTGTTAGCACTAACAGAGTGGCGGGCACCGGCGCCTCCGACATGCCTTCCATGCACCAGGCTCTGTTCTTACTATTGCGAGGCAGATCTTACTGTGAGACCCATTTCCTTGATAAGGAGACAGTCTCTGTGTGCCAGATGGAACTGGACCAGCATTTGAACCAAGGCAGTCTGACTCCTGAGCTGCTCTCTTAAACTCTATGCTGCTTCTGGTCCGGTCCTGAGTACCCGGGAGGTGCAGCACATGCCAGTTTATTGTTGCCAAGCACACCAAAGCCCAGAACCTGGGCTGGGAGGCCACACTGTACCTTCACAGCGCCCTGGGAGTGCAGAGCCTTGGCTCCAGGCAGAGGAAAGGCCCTGTTTGAGGTGGTATTCAGTGTGGCCTGTGGCTCCGGGTCCTGCATTCCATGGATTTTTGGCCCCTGATTTGGGCTTGGCAGCCACTGCCTCATTGTTCTGCAGTTTGGCAGGGCCCCGTGATCCGGGACAGGCAGCTCCCCGTGTTACCCGGAGGTGCCTGCATGCATGTGCTGTGAGTCTTCTCCCCACTCCCTGAGACTTGTCCCTCCAAGTGCCCTTTTTTGTGGTCTTCCCACATTTGAACCCCCAAAGAAGGGGTTTCTGATAGCAATTTCTGGCATTAAGGAGCCTGGATTTCCACTGGGGTGGAACAAGCGGAAGGCAAATGCCCTGCGATTTGACACCCGGAAGAGTCCAGGAGGCAGCAGAGCACTTGGAATGAGGAGAGTCCCTGGAGTCAGCGAGGTCTGAGGCTGAATCCCCCTGCAGCTTCCTGGCTGAATGATGTTGAACTTTTCCTCTTTGGTCCTCCGCTTCCTGCCTGTAAAATGGGTCTGTGAACAGCCCTGCAGATGAACAGGAAGGGCGTGGGCTACCCAGAGGCGTCTTTCCTCCCTCCTTCCCCTGGGAGTGACCCTTTCCAAGGCTTGGTGGGTAGGGAGCTGTTCTCCTGGTCAAAGCCCTTGTCCTCACCCCTGCATAGTGCAGCAGGTGCCATTTGGTTCCACACGGTGGCCGACCTGACGGCTAAGGTGGTGTGGACAGCAGCTGGGTGTGGTGTGCAGGGCAAGATCTCTGGAGGCTCCTTGCAGGCCCTGCCTTGGCATCAGTGTGACCCCATTTCCGAGTGGAGAGAGGGCTCATTCTGTGGGGAGCCAGCTGTTGAGGAAGGTGACACTTGATGCAGGGAGTGCAGCGTGGTGGCTACAGGCGGGTGCAAGGTCAAGTCTCGGGGCTGGAGTGTAGCTCTGATAAAGCACATTCCTGCATATCTGAGGCCTGGGACTGACACCCAACACTGCAGAAAAGGAGAGGGTCCTGCCCTGTGACACATGTCAGCTGGGGAGACCTTTAACCACCTTGTGCCTCCGCTTCCTCAGCTGTAACACAGGCCAGTGACAGACCTGTCTCTTGGGGGCGTCAAGGCTGTTGAGGTGAGTGGTTGGAGCCCGGCCGGCACGATAAGGGCTCGGTGCTGGTTTGCTATCATTGTCACAATCATCTCTGTTTCTGGAGCGGCTGGTCCCTTACAGTGGCCGCAGTGAGCTCCTCAGAGTGCAGCTGTCGGAGGGCACCGTCCCCGCCAGATGACACTGGGAAACACCTGCCAGGCTTGGCGGGGGGCATCTGCCAAAGCCCCAGCTGGGCAGTGACTGGACAGAGAGTCAGACCCAGGCCCACCGGAAGCCCTTGGAACTGGGGCTGAGTGAGTGAGGACAGATAAGGGAAGCGGAACGAATGCAGGGATGGACGCTGCTGGTCTCCAGCCCATGGGAAGCCCGGGGCAGGGCGTCCAGGGCACATGAGTGATCCCGTGTGCGGGCCTGGATGGGGTGGCGTGGGCCGGTCCTGGAGCCTTCTGAGACAGAGAAGGAACCTTCTCCCCAAGACAGCTCTCCACCCTTTTCCCCGAGGCCTTCCTAAGGGCAGAGGGCAGTAAATATGTTACCCCGAGGGGTCGGGGGTGCAGCCCGCAGCAGCTGTGGAGCCCACAGGAGTCTCTGGTTTCATCTTCAAATTCATGCGCATTTTACCTTCTCCTCCCGCTCCTCCCCAGTTTGTTGTCACACACTCTGCCCCTCAGAGTCACAGCAGCGCCTGAGGATGCTGCTCCGTGTTTATCTGTTTATCCTGGGGCTTTGTGTACCCCTGCTCCTCACCCTGGGGGGGGGTGTTCCGCTGCAGGCCTCAGCCAGATGGCGGGAGAATGCTGGGGGCGCCTGGGCCCATCTGCTTTGGGGGCTTGGCAGGGAGCGCCCGGGCCTGGTGGGAGACCGGCTTGCAGGTGGCAGAGGCGGGGCTGTGGGGACAAGTGAGGCCCTGAAGGGCAGGCACACCCCACGATGCCCACCTTGGAATGACAGTCTGAGACTGCGCTGCACGCAGAGACCAAGCACCATCTGTGTATCTGTGCCCAGCGAGATGAGCCATGCAGAGGGCATGACCACAGTGGCCAGCATCATGGGCAGGAGACCCCCCACCGCCGTGCTCAGCAGGAGGTGACCCTTGCCCTGCAGACAGCCAGCCAGGGCCCCCTGCGTTCCCGAGTCGCGTGCTTCAGCCATCAGTGTGGTGCCCTGGTGGCCTCACCTCCTGCCCTCTGCATTGTGTCACCGAGAGCAGTTTCACCCTGAGCAGCTGTTTTAAGCAGCATTGATGCTGGGTGCAAATTGTAGGGAGCTGGAGAGCCCGAAGGTCATGTTCAGTGGGTGACTCGGGGTTGGTGGGCGGATGCCCTTTGACTCGCAGAAGTCACAGTCATCCCTGGGAGTCGGGGACAGACTGCATTGGGAGTGCTGGTCTCCATCCAGGCTGTACACAGCAGGCCTGTGACCCAGCGGGACGGGTGGTGGGCTGGCTGGGGTGCAGATGACCAGGCAATGGCCCCGGTGTGGTGTCCCCCAAAGTTCACGCGTGGGAGCATGATCCCCGAGTGGCGATCTGCTTCTGGGAGGCAGTGGGACTTAAAGGGGTGGTGCCCCAGAAGAGGTCCTTTGTCATTGGGGACAGCCTTTGAAGGGATTAAGGTGTTTCTGGGGGGATCTGAGTTAGTTCCCAAGGGATCGAGTTAGTGTACACACCCAGGTCTGACCCTCAAATCACCATCTGCCTTCCTGTCTAGCCATGTGTCCCCCTTCCTAACTATACTGTGCTGCACCATGGGTCCCCACGGGAGCTGAGCCCATCCAGCACTAGGCCCTTGAACCTCCAGAACTTTGAGCTGTATGAAACTTTCTTCTTTAGCAAGGCACCCAGCCTGACCGGTGTGATAGTGTAAGCCTATAATCCCAGTGCTCAGGGAGGCTGAGGCAGGAGGATCACAATTCAAGCCCAAGCTGGGCAATTCAGCAGGACCCTGTCTTAATTTTTTTAAGAAGTGGGTCTGGGGATGTAGCTCAGTTCGAAAGGCCCCAGATTCAATCCCTAGAAGGAAGGAAAGAAGGCGGGCAGGAAGGCTGGCTGACCTCCTGCCTCAAGTGTCTTGTTATTTTGTTAGAGGAACAAAAAAGACTACCACAGGTGATCTCTTAGGTCTTAGAAACTGATCTGGAGCCGGAATTCCCAGGGCAGGGATTTATTAGGGCTGACTTCCAGGGGCACTGGGAAGGCCCAAGAAGAGGACAGCCAAAGCTGTCATCTCTGGTTCCTCCACAGTCCCCAGTGTGGGAGTCACGCTGACCTGCAGTGGGGGCCTGGCTCCCCTGTGTACCCCTCGGGCCTGTGGAAGTGGTGCAGTTGGACCCTGGACTCCCACCTGCCATCTTTGCACACTGTAGGAGCCCAGGCCCGGCCACGGCCCAAGGAGGAGCTGAGAAAAGCTCATGAGTGGATGTGGGAGGCTCTCAGGTGGAGAACACGGGTGGGTGGGACCCCTGCCCTCGGCCATGCAGGTTCTATGCCTAAACTTCCATCCCTGCCCCAGAAGTGCTTGTCTGATGGAGGAGGCAAGAAGCTTCTCTGTCGCCAGGAGTAGGCGTGACACTGGCGAGAAACCGGATGGCTTCAGGCTCGGGTACATGGTGGGTGCTTCTTCAGGGACAGCTGCTGCGGTTTCCATGGCGACTACTGACCTGCACCCCTGACTCTCTGGGCAGCTCCAGCCCTGAGGCTGAGCGGCTGCTTCTTTGTGCAGAGGACCCTGGCCCGAGCAGCACGGAGGGACAGGGACACAGGGTCCTTCCTGCAGCTGCTGCTGGAGTCTGACTCAGTTCCTTCTTCCACCAGCCTGGGCTAATATAAAAGTGATGATGGTGGACGTGGGCACCAAACGTCACCCTCCACTCATGGCATCGGAGTCTGGCAAATGTAGGGTTGAGTCTGGCACCTTCCTTGCCAGCCCAGGTACTGCCAGTGGAATGCTCCCTGCTGGGAACCTCAGCTTCCCCTTTCCATCAGGGATAATTCCAGCACCCTGGCCAACGGCAGAATGGAGGGACAGCGTGCCACAGGGGTGTTGAGTCCTCACCCTGTCACTCCTGCCTGAGAAGGAAGTGACCAGGCCTGTTTTCTGTTGCAGCCCAAGCCCTTGTGAGGCTGGCATGCAGGATGGCAGGACAGCCCAGCCACATGCCCCATGGAGGGAGCCCGAATAACCTCTGCCACACTCCAGGGCCTGCGCACCCTCCTGACTCACAGGTAAGCCTTTTGTGGTCGGCGGTGCACTGAAGAACCTCCAAGGTACAAGGCGGCATCCCCACTCATGCTGCTGGACCCTGGAGGAAACCCCTCAGCACTCCTGTCAGAACCTCTTTTTAAATGCTTCTGGTGATGGGCAGCTCACTACCCAATGTAGCAAGCCCTTTACTTAATTCAGCAAACTCAGAGAAACTCCTCTGTGCCAGACTCAGCTGAGGTGCAGGCTGACCCACCCCTGGGCAGGGCCCTCATGAGTGGAACGGTTTTCTCTAGGAGGTATCAAGCACCTCGCACAGTGTGGAACACAGGCAATAGGTAGAAAGGTCCTTCTTACTCCTCCTGTTTTGTTGGAGGCTCCACTCTTCCTCTTGTGTAGAACAGCAGCTTCCAGACACCAGGGTTTCCTTGTACCTTCTGCCTTCTCCACAGGTCTTGGGGGGACCTCCAGGCAGCCTTGGGGAGCCTTTGTGGCACTAGCCTCTGCCAGCTCCTGCTCCAAGCCTCAGGCCAATGCTGCTCCTGTGTGAGCATCTGGGACACAGCTGTGGTCACTTCCCCGGGGCGCCTGGCTCAGGTCTGCCTCCTTTCTACTGGACCCAGCCTCACAGGAAAGATGAGAAACCAGCAAAAGAAACTTGGGGATCCTTGTAGCTCCTGCAAGGCACCTGACCCACACTCAGGGGCCAGAGAGTCTTCCTCCAGGGAGGGAATGGCAGGCACAGGTCAACAGGGCAGGTTGGGCATGTTGGCTGGGGCCAGTTCCTTGGGGTCCTGTGGGCAGCCTGGAATGATCAAGAGTTCTTGTCTCAGTTTGACTTTTCGTTCTAAGTCTATGAGACCTAAACCAGGGGAAACACAGAATCAGCCATATTCCTGAAACGTGAAAGACTTATTACAGCTTCTGACTTCCTGGCTCTTCTTGGAGGACTTTGGGGCTGCTGTGGACAGTTGTACAGGTTATACACTGCACAAAGATAGCTGGCCAAGGAGGCAGGTGGATCTGAATTCCTTTTCCTGTGCTTAGATTCTCAGCATGCCATGTTCCACGGTGCACAGCGGCATCGGCCTAAGGGAGAGGGCAACATATAAGCCAGAGGACACTGCATGTGTGTGCACAAGCATGCAGAGAGCCCACGGACACCTGTGCTCTTCTTACTGTCCTTGCCTGTTTCTGGCTCAGATGCAGGGCCCATTTCCTAGGGAGAAGGTGGGGGTGCAGTCCTCGGAAGCAGGATCCACCCGGCCCTAGAGCAGATAGCGGGAGGCGGTGCCTGCTTGGGCGATGAAGTGATTTGTCATACTAAGTCATTCACCAACAATTGAATCCCCCTTGATTAATCTCCCAGAATCAGCCAGTTGCATTTCGAGCAATTAGGGTTAATTACAGCTTCATTTGGCGGAGGAGAGGACCCTGGAATTATTATGCCATGGAGGCGGGGAGGCGGTCGTGTCCCCGGCACCCGCACACATGTTGCAGGGGGCAGTGACATAGTTACGTGCAATTAGACCCGATCCCTCATCCCCAGGGCTGCTCGGGGCAGTGCTGTCGGGTGAAGATGGCCCCGGGCTCCCCAGCATCTGGCTGGCATCTGGGCCACGTGTGTGCTGGACCCACGCTAGATCGGGGTGGCGGAGGCAGTCAGGTCTTCCTCTTCTGTCCTGAAGCCGTGCTGTTTAGACCCCATCTGGGGAGACGTCCCAGCCAGTGTTGCCTCTTGCAGGATGAAAACACTTTGAATTGCTCTGACCTGTGCCAGGCGGGGTTCCCTTCTAACCCGATCCCCTCACCAGTAAGGAGACACGGGATAAATGACCTCCCTGAGCTTCAGTGTCCTCGCCTGTAAAATGGGATTATAATCGCACCTCCCTCATGAGACAGCTGTGAAGGCTAAGTCAGATGATAAGCTTTTAAACAGCCGCCGTGGCTCTGAATGATGCAGGTGTTGACAAAAATAGTATGGTCTTCAATGTTATTTTAAGATTTTTTAAAAGTCACTTGCAGTGTTCACAGCTAAAGATCTCGGAGCTGGACAATGCCCTCCTTACAGGAAGATCGTAAACTGCAAACACTCCAGCTGTGGCTAGTTGCTTGTTCTCCTCAGGAAGGCTTCTAGCCTGAGAGCATTAGCACATGAAAATAGATTTGCTGGACTTGGCAGAGTCGTATGTGCCAAACGGGACCTGTGCCACTTTTATTGGGTTTCTAATGAATGCATGCGTGCAATTGAGAGAGGGGCTTATTTGACCCTCTGTTTGCACAGAGCGTTCTCACCAGGAATGATCTACAAGGCTTGGCCGACCCAAGAGAACACATGAATTTCCAAGAAGGGGAAAGGTGTTGTTGGCGGAGAAGCCCTGGCTAATGTGTCTTCCATCTGGAAAGTCTTTGGAAACCTGCTCAGACTGGCCATGCTCCGTTCTATTTGGAGAGAGGAGCGGGGGTAGTTGTATGCACTGCATAGACCAAAATCCGGGAAACTCTTCCCAAAAAGAAATACTGGTGCTTGCACAAAGTTTAATGACCAGATATTAGTGGCCATTAAGTTCAAGAGGGTTTGCTAATGGTTCAAATTGAGCAAGTGTTTGTTTCCTTTCTTCTGCGGGCTTTACCTGGTGCATGGTGCCTGCAATAAGGAGCTCAGTATGCTGGGGGCCCCGTGTGTAAATAGATGAACTGTGTGCTGAGGAAGCAGCCCCATGAGAGGGTGCTGAGGAACCCAGAGAATAGGGAGTGTGTTAGTTGCCTTCCCATGGCTGGGACGTGATACTTGACACCCACACCCTAAGGAAGGAGAGGTTTAATGTTGGCTCACAGTTTCAGGGAGTTCAGTCCATGGTTAGTAGGCTCCAGGGTGTAAACATTGTGGCAGACAGTCGTGGTAGAGCAGAGAGAGAGCACAGGGAAACGTGCCCACAGAGATACAGCCTGCCAAGGCAAGCCTTCCTCAGCCGGCCCCCTCCTAACACTACACCCAGCTGTCAACATGCGTGGATTAATTCACTGATGATCTTGCCCTGTGATCTTGTCCCTCTCCGGGAGTCTCTCAGTGCTATCACATTGATGACTGAGGTTACCCATCACAGGTGGCTGGTTCTGCCCAAAGGATGTTTGGGATGGGACAGGGAGAGGAGAATATTCTAAAGAAGGAAAGAAAACAGCTGTACAGCCCAGAGCCAAAGGTACAAAGCCAGCCAGGTTAGATCCACCCCAGCTAGGAGAAAATAGAGGAATGGGCGTTTCCGTGAAAGATCTCAACCCATGCTGTATCATTAGAACTCAAGTCACAGTGAATGGGGAGCTCATTGTGGGTTTCAGTTGGCAAAGAGGGTTGTTCTAGGGGAGCCCCTGCAGTTTAGGGCAGTTTTGGTTTGCTGTTGGCATCTTCTGTGACAAATGGGTAATGGCTCTCTGCTTCCAGGAGCCGATGGCCCACAGAGGGCACCTGGTGTAGACTTCCAAGTTGGAATAATGGTGATGCGGGTCGCATTGGCAGCCTGATGTTCCGCACTTATTCCAGTCCCCTCCCAGCTCAGAGAAGTGGATCTCTGCCCAGACTTCATTCTGCGGGGCAGGACACTGAGAGGAGTGACCTGCCATTTTCTACTGAGGGACAGAGTCAGGATTCAGCCCCCGTCCCTGTGTCGCTAGGTTTTGGAGAGGAAGATTGGAACCTGGATTGAAATTAGCCAGCTCATGAGGAACCAAGCAGAGCTGGCCTGCGAAGGCATCCAACAACACAGGCTCTCTGTAAATCCTGCCCTTCGTTTGTGCAAGGCAGATTTAAAACACATCTCTGTATATTCACACACCCCAAATCCATTAAGAGTTCCCGATACGCAGTGTCAGTTGTCTTTAAAGGTGAAATTCATTTACAGAAAATGTCGTTCTGATGAAATGCACTTTTTAAAATCATAGAAACGGTTGCCTTAAAATTAATGATGCATTGCAAATATCAGAGAAAAAAGACCCATCCAGTGTAAAGACGATTAAAATTCAGGTCAGAAGTCTGACTTAGTCAGGCTAAATTTTTTAATGAGATTTCCAAAAATTAATTGGGCGAATGCATTTTTATTCTTTTAACGTGTAATTTTACGGCCTTTTTTTTTTTTTTTTCCAAAGGATTTGTCGATGGCTGAGGCTTATTGTGGTTCAAACATTTTTAAACTCAAATTAGTGAAGGAGAGGGGCATTTGTGGCCTGATTCGATCTGATTTGGAGACAAGGCCAGGTTTCTCAGCGCTGTCAGGGTGGGGACGTCCTATGGTGTTCAGCCCCAGCCCCACCCAGCCTCCTGTTTGTCTCCTCAGCCTGAGAAAGCTGGCGACCTCTCCAGTGAAGGTGCGAGAGGGGACAGAGGTGACTCAGGACCTTGGCTGTCCTTGACACCCCTCCTCCAGGCTTCTGCTGCTGTCCAGGTCATTGTCCTTGCTGTCCTCCGCAGCTCCACCTCCTCCTTGGGCACATGCTGACAGATATCCGAGTGGGGCCAGACCCTGTGTGGCCACTGTCCCTATCTCCCGCTCCTGAGCCCTAGGCTCAGCTCCTCTGTGCAGGGAGAACTAAGGGGCTCAGCACCCCGGGGCAGGAGCACCAGGAGCCAGAAGTGGCTGCATAGTGCAGTCCCTGTGAGCAGCCCATGGACAGCCCTGAAAGGGAAGCCCAGGCAGCTGCCATTTGTCCTGGGGGAAGCTGTGAAGTCACCTGCAAATCCCCGAGGCCCCTGCTAGCCCTGGGTCAGCAGACCCTCTGTGGGTCTCTGCTGTACTGAGGACTGAACCCAGGGCCTTCACACTGAGTTGTATCCCCAGACTCTTTTTTTTAATTTTTTGAGACAGGGCCTACGTCCCCTAGTTGCCCAGCCTGCACTTGAATCTGCGATCCTCTTTCCTCCGCCTCCCAGGGCACTTGGGTCACAAGCGTGCATCACAGCCAGCTTTGTGATACTGATTGTAACGGTAGCCAAGTGCCCCTGTGCTTGTCCCCCGGGGCTGGACCAGCCCTATCTCAGCTCTTCCCCAGCCTCTCAGAAGTAGTGGCTGCCGTTGGCTTTATTCTATAGACGTAGCAACACCAGCAGGAATAACTCACGCCCCAGCTCTCCTCTGTGCCAGGCCCAAGGCGCTTTCTTCATTAGCTTATTTACTCCCTGGGGGCCACAAGAGAAGGAGACCAAGCCGAGAAGGACTCACCCACAGCCTGGGTGTCAGCCTGAGATCCGAACCCACACCTGCCGCCCCAGGGCCAGGGCCTTAGCTAGCAGAGCCATGACAGTGTTGCCCCTCTGCCAGCTGTGCCCTCAGGGTGCTTTTGTCAGCAGGAGCCAGCAGGGGCTCTAAGCAAGAGGTGACTGCTTTCCAAAAGGCTGTCAGTTAACAGTGACTTCCCGGGTCACCATGTCACTGTGGTGTGAGCTTTTCCAGATCAGCCCCCAGCCACCCAGCAGTTTCGGGCCCCAAGATTCCTCAGCTGTGCCACCCAGAACCCCCAGGGGAACCTGCAGCCACTCCTCCTGTCCCCTGAGTTGATGTCCGGTCTGGGTCACAGCCACAGGGGCAAGAGTGTGCTCGTAGGAGGACGCAGCCGACAGGCCTGGCCTTGAGAGCAGAGGGCAGTGTGCTCTTTCTTCCCTTTCAGTTAGACCAGGGCTCGGGCCGAGTCGCCTGGTACCCAGACAGAGGCCACTGGGGACAGGGCTCCTATCCCAGAGCTCCAGAGCGCCCTTCCTCTAATTAAGCAGGATGGGTTGTGACAGGAAATGCAAACCCCAGTCATCCACATGCAGATGCTTGGCCACAGCCCAGCCCACCCGGAGCTGCAGAACTGGGAACTGGGCAGAGTGATCGCTGGGGACTCCAGGGACCCTCCTTCTCCTCACAGGGAGAAGCCTGGTGCCCCAGAGCAAGGACCCTCAGAGATCACATCTTCTAAGTGCTGTACTAGGAGGGAAACTAAGGCTTGGGAGAGGAGGGACCCTAGGCCCCATCCCTTACTACGAAGGAGCACAGACAGCTCTAGATCAGGCGGGAAGTTCAAGGCCTCCCTGCCCTGGGCAGCTGGCTGTGTGTTCCTCAGTGTCCTCATTAACAAACCTGGCTGAGTGGCCTTGGCTTCTGTGCTGTGAGGAGATTTCAGTCACTCACATGCATCGTGTCGTCATTTCTATGAATGCGAGGGCTCCTCCTGTTGAGAAGCCACCTTGGCTTTTCCTGAGGGTGTGGCTTCAGGTGCAGCCCTGGAGGTGAGGAGGCCTGGACAGAGTCCCGCTGGACGCCAGGCTGTTGGAGCACATCCCACTGTTTCATTCAATGCACACTCCTAGAGCACTGTGCAGCAGCACAGGGGACGCACGCGTTGGGGACCTAGCAAGGGGCCTCTGCCACAGAAACCCATGGTCAGGCATGGAGCGGCTTAAGGAGCGGTGGAACAGGAGGTGGCCCACTGTGGGGTGCTGGAACAGAGGTGGAGGAGGACCTGAGTTGAGGGCACCCTGTGCAGGCCAAGGGGCACAGCTGCCCAGGCCCTCAGTCTCAGGCCCGAGCTGTGCTGTGCCATCACATGCTGAGGGATCTGGAGGAGATCCCTGCCTCCCCTCTAAGCCTCAGTTTCCTGAAGTGGGCCAGTCAGAGGAGCCTGCAGGGTGGAGCAGGGCTGTGCTCGGTAATGTTTGCGCCCCTTGGGCAGGTGCTCATGTGTCTGGAGGGGAATTGTGGTACAGAAGAGCTCATATAGCAGGGTATACTGGTGCACACCTGTAATCCCAGCACTTGAGAGGCTGAGGCAGGAGGATCGCTCCGCTCAGGGCTCACTGGTTCAAATGTCTGTGTTCCAGGTGTTGCGGGGGGTACTCCTGAACGCAGCCCTCTGTCTGGGTCTTTCAGTCATTTGGAAGCAGATCTGGGCCTAGGTTTAGAAGCTACATTTTCACTTTTAAAAGTTTAGCTGCTTAGCTAGGCATAGTGGTGAATACCTGTAATCCCAGCACTCTAGGAGGCTGAGACAGAAGGATTACAAGTTCAAGACCAGCCTGGGCAACTTAGTGATTTAGTGAGACCCTGTTTCAAAATAAACAACAACAATAAAGAAGAAATTTTAAGCGGGGATGGGGGTGTGCTGGGGATGTTAGCTTAGCGTGAAGGCCCTGGGTTCAATACAGTGCCGACCCCACTCTGCTAACACATTTCTACACACTGTAAGGGACCTAGTCTCTGTCCTTATGTCACCATCTGTCAGGGGACACCATCCCCACCGACAGCGATTCCCTGCCCCACAGGGGGCTGTGGCAGGAGGGTGGGTGAGCCTCTGCCCAGAACCAGGCAGGGCTGGCTCCTCCAGACCTCAGTTTCCACACTGATCAAACAGAGACCTCCCAGGACCCCTCCAGCTAGCAGGAGGTGTGGGCAGACAGAGGCGGGTCCTCTCTCTTCTTCTCCCGCCCAGGCCTGGCATGAGCCCCGCCCTTTCCGAAAGAGCAGCTCCTCACACCCTGTGGGGCACCTGCTGGCCCTGCAGTCACTGAGAAGTCTCTGGTTTCTTCCTGTCCTCTTCTGAGGGCTCGGAGATGAAAGGCTGCAGATCTGAGCCTCGGTTTCCCCTTTGAGATGGAGACCAGTTGCCCCAGGAGGGGAACTTGGGGTTGGGGCCATGGGGCTGTGGGATCAGGGCAAGCCTGGTGCTGTATCCTGACAGCCTCCCACACAGGCCTGGCCCTGCCCGACCTGGTATCTCCAGGGATGAGCGGGGCGACCAGGCCCTGGGCCCCAGAGCCAGCCTGGGGAAGAGTCATCAGATGATCCAGAGGATGCCTTCACGCAGTGGGGAGATGAGCAGCTTCCCTGCTTCTCCGGTGTGCGGCAGGGTTGTTGAGAACAGTTGGGCGGTGGGAAAAGCCCCAAGGAGGCTCTGATCCGGGGCTGCCAGGCAGAGTCGCTCCTTCACTGTTGAGGGTCCTTGAGGTCCCTGGCTGCCCAGGACCAGGCCCTAGAATCCAGCCCCCTGGTCACCAGTGCCCTTGTCCCCCACAGAGGCACCTGAGCACCCTGACTTTCCGCTGCTCACTGGCCGACTTCCAGATCGAGAAGAAGATAGGCCGAGGACAGTTCAGTGAGGTCTACAAGGCCACCTGCCTCCTGGATGGGAAGACGGTGGCTCTGAAGAAGGTGCAGGTAAGCCCACAACCCATGGGTCAAGCTGCATTGAAGGCGCTGGCTCCTGCCCCTGGCCAGAGCCCCGTACGCCATAACTGGGAAGTTAGAAGCAGCTCCCCAGCTGTGGAGAGACCCAGCAGACACAGGTTTAGGGAAGCTCATTGTAAACCAGAAAAAAAGCCAGCTGTGGTGGCACATGCCTGTAATCCCAGCACTCGGGAGGCTGAGACAGGAGAGTAGCATGAGTTGAGGCCAACTTGAACTGCATAGCAAGACTTTTGTCTCAAAAACAACAGCAACAACAGAAGCATGCATTGGGCACCTGTTGTGTCCTGGGTCACGCTGGGAGTTCATGGAACCTTGACAGTAGCGCCCTAGGTGGGAGTCATTGTCCCACCCTCCAGAGGAGGAAGTCATTGTAGACGCAACACCTCCCAGGCTGCAGAGTGAGATTCAGAGGTGCCTGACCACCCCTGTGCCTGCACTCACCCCACGCTCTGGGCTCCGGGCATCTCCCTCACCCTCCCTGTCCTTCCTAACTGGAGTCAGGATGGGAACACCATCAAGTCCTCCCACGCGTTCCTGGGCCTGGATTTGCTCCTTTGTCTTTACAGAGTGGGGTGAACAGGCTGGGCAGAGTCAGTCACGGGATGTGGGGGAAGAAAGCCACGCGTGTCCCTGTGGATCCGTACCACCTATGTGTGCCTCACCGAGTTCCAGGGCCTGTGCCCCACTCTGATCTCCCAGGAGCTCCCTGGCTCTGTCTTGCTTCTTTGGGGCCATGATGGGGCTGCAGTGTCTGCCTTCGGTCCACACCCGCAAGTCAGGGGCTGGGCGGACGCAGATCTGAGTGTTGCACCCACTCTAACGGGGCTCACACGATGGCACCATGAGGTCAGACTGGTGGCCTCAGTGAGTCGGGGGATCTTCTGGGCTTCGGTCCCCTCCTCTGTGAGTTGGGTACAGTCCCTCCTGTGTCGTCATGTGGTCACTGGGTTCAGAGTAATGCTGTTAAGGCAGAGCCAGCCTCACAGTGGGCACTCGGAAAGTGGGAACTCGTTCTCACTGGAGTCACCTGAGAGGAGAGGCAGAGCCAGGACCCTTGGGTGCTGGTTTTAACCACTGTGTCTCTTCCTTCTGCCCAAGATCTTTGAGATGATGGATGCCAAGGCCAGGCAGGACTGTGTCAAAGAGATCGGCCTTCTGAAGGTAAGTGGTACAGGTGGGCAGGAGCTCTTGCTGGGCATCTGGACAGTGCCAGGGCCCATAGTGCGCATTGCTGTGTGGCCGCAGCCTTCACACACCTCCCCAGAGATCACAGCCCTGGGCTGGGCTGCTCTGTCCCGGGAACTCCTCTCTACCTACCGAGGTTTGGTTTCTCCCTGGGGTCTCAGCAGTGATGGAGGAGCCGAGAGGGGAAGAAATTCAGGCTTTGGAGGTGCAGGAGCCTGAGTTCATTTCCAAGCTGTGTGACCTTCAGTAGTGACAACCTCCCTGAGCCTGTTTGCCCAGTGGTGAGACAACTTGTTTCACAGGGTGGAACAGATCAAATAAATCACGCCTGACATCTCCAGCCAGATGCACACTCAGGACGGCCCACTTGAATGTGGAAACAGACAGGAGCCAGGTTTGAACCCAGCACCATAAGAAGAGGGTGTGAAGACCACAGGTCCGGGCACCTGAGTTTAGCGCATTGCTTGGGGGCTGCAGGAGCTCCGTCCACGGCAGCCCAGGCCGTGGCTGTCGTAGCCTCTGCCTGCCACACCAGCCTCTTCCCAGAGTGCTACTCCTGCTCCCAGACTGCTCTGGGACGTCAACAGGATGTGCAGGGCTCGAGGTGCTTCCTGCAAAACACAGGGAGATGTGGCTCTTGAGGGGCCCCTGGCCGATGTTGTTCATGTTGTTTGTGCCAAGAGCCCCCAAACCCGGAACTTCCCAAAGCAGGGGCTGGCCAGCACGGAATGGCATGTGTCAGCCTGCTTTCTGAGCGCCACTGAGTTCTGGACATGGGTGCCACCTGCAGGGAATACAGACCACAGACAGATGCGTGCATTCGGGGTTACATCTGGGCGGGCAGTGACTATTTACTTTGAGAGAGAATCTCACTATGTAGCATAGGCTGACCTTGAACTTGCTACATAGCCCATGCTGGCTTTGAACTCATGATCCTCCTGCCTCAGCCTCCTAAGAGCCAAGATTATGGGCAAGCACAGCCTTGCTTAGCAGGAGCCATGGTTTAGAGAGCAAAGAAAGGGGGAATCCTTCATCCATGGGCCCAGCCTCCCTCCACTCCTCTGGCCTTCTGTCCATCCCTCTGCACCCAGACAAAACCCAACCATATTGCATTTTGGAGCACTTTCTGTGTCCTTCTCCCAAGCCTGTCCTCTCCTGGACCCTCTGGGCTCACCAAGAGGCTGTGTGAAGTGGAGGCTGTGTGGACGAGGCTGTAGGCTCAGCCTGTGCCTGTCTCCACCTTGCTGTGCGCCTGCAGCCAACCTTTCCCCTCCCTGGGCCTTGGGGATTTGGCCCCGTTGACCTTGGGGGCCCCTTTTTCCTGAGGCTTTGTGGACTGACAGGGTGTTTGGGGAGCTAAACAGCCTGGCCTCAGACCTGCCAGGTCAGGGTAAGGAGCTTCCTGTGCTGCCCCAGGGGCCAGGGCTTGAAACCTCCTAATTCCCCTCTCTAATTTTTTTCAAAGTTGTTTGAGAAACCACGGTGTCAGGGTGAGTTTGGGGGAATCCCCTGAGAGGGTGCAAGGATCCCAGGAAGTAATGAAGCTGAGTCAAAGGAGAAGGGAAAGGAGCAGGGTCCTGATTTATCTATCACCGCAGCAACATGCCCGCACTGTGGGAGGCACTTTAGGGATTTTAAGACTTCATTGCTCTCGTAAGTGACAGACATCTACTAACCGTCATGTGCACCGAAGGCCAATGCTGGGTTAGCCAATGTTACCTCCCAGGCAACCTTCTAGAAACAAAACCAGGACCACCAGGCCAATTCAGCAGACAAAAGAAAGACTTTGCACACAGGGCGCTGGAAAACAGGGCATCCTCAGTGGAGAGAGGTGAGCTTCACGCTACACACGAAGCTTCATTTGAAATGGGTCACAGGGGAAACGTCAAAGCTAAAGCTACGATGTGAAGACTGGAGCAGAAAACCGGGGGCCATGCCTGGCATGGGGGTGCACACCTGTGCTCCCAGAGCCGGCCTGGGCTACTTAGTGAGTTCAAGGCCAGCCTGCGTTACTCAGCGAGACCCTACTAATAACCAGAAAAGAAAGAAAGCAAGGGACTCTTCTTAACCTTAGGGTAATCGCAGGTGTCTTAGGCAGGACACAAAGAACATTATCAACCACAAAGAGAAAAATGATCGGTTAGACGTCATCAAAAGGAATAGTTTGCATTTATCACACCCATCATCCAAAGGTGAAAAGGCAAGATGGGAAGACAGCCGCGGCACCTTGTCTGACAAGGGATGTGTTCATAATGTACCCCTACAGATCTACAGCACTGTAGAGATAAAACTCAGTGAGAGGCTCCTCCTGTCCCGCTCTGCTCACCCCCAGCTCCCAGGAACATTCACGAAGATAGTCACAAGTACCTGCTAGAGCCCTGCTTGGGCTGGGTATTGGTGGCACTGGCCTCCCTCGGTGGGTACTCCTCTCCCTTACTCAGGTGAGCCAGGCACTGCAGGCAGGAGTGCACAGTAGCTCAGGAGAGGACGAGGGCACAGACCCTGCCCTGGGGTAGTTAAGTCCAGAATGGACTTAAAATCCAAGTGTGCGGGCCACAGTGACACATTGCAGTGGGGGTGGACTCGAGGGGTGGCAGGAGAGGAGGTGGAGGGGCAGGGGCAGGCTGTGCACAGGGGCCGGGCCACCTGGAGACGTGTTGACACCTCCTAACCACAGGGGCTTGGCTGGAGCTGGGGCCTGCGTGCTCCAGCAGGCTGTGGGTGCTGGGACACAGCAGGGTCAGCCTGGGGAAGCTGGCTTGAGTTTGGGCCAACGACGGAGGCCACCTCTGGTCCCTGGGGACCTTGGTGGGGGGCAGTGCCCCCCGGGCCTTGGTCGAAGAAGGAAGGAATGAAAGGAGGATCACGTGGCTCTGTGATCCCCCAGACCCCTCCTCTTTGTAGAATCTGGGAAGGGACGCACTAGACGCATATCCAGGCTGTGAGTGTGGTAGGGACAGGGCTGACCGCACGGGGCAGGGTCCTTCGGGTCCCGCTTAGCTCTGGAGGGTGCCGTTATCCACTTCCTCTGCTCCTCAGGCCTCTTGCTCTTCAGAACATCATGCCCATTTCTCAGGCAAAGAAACAGACTTATAGATAGCAAGCAGCTTTCATAACTACACCCCACACCTGCCTCCCAGCACACGCTGGCCCTGGGCATCCTGAGGCTCCTGGGCAGGTGCTGCTGGGCTGGTCCGTCTGCCGCTGGTCCACTTTTCTGTCTGTCTCTCCTGCACAGCAACTGAACCACCCGAACATCATCAAGTATCTGGATTCGTTCATTGAGGACAGTGAGCTGAACATTGTGCTAGAGCTGGCCGACGCGGGCGACCTCTCGCAGATGATCAAGGTGGGGTGTCTGGAGCAGGCGAGCCCATCGGCTGAGTCCCAGCCTCGTTGCTGGGGTCCCATTGCCTTCCTGTCGACCCAGCAGGGGCCACCCACCCCTCGAGAGAGCCTGCACAGGCTTCTCCCCGCCGGTCCCAGCCCAGGGATCCCGAGAAGTGTTACAGGCTGCCTCACGTGCAGAAGGGAGGACAGCCCAGGGAGGTTAAGAGACCTGCCGGCCACTGTCCCCAACACGGGGAAGGAGCCATACCTACGCCCAGGTCACTTTCCCTGGCCTGGGACCATTCAGTGGACGTCGCCCCCAGAGTGACCCCCCAGCCCTAGGACAGAACCTGCGTTTCCACTCAGTGGCCGCTGCCTAGGGTCATCACTCCCAGGTGGGGCCCTGCTGTGTTCCCACCCCCCCAGGGCCCAGGAGCAGCTCCCAGTGAGCCTGGCAGCAGGACCATGACCTTCCACCCCTACCCCGGTTCTGTCCCCAAGGCAACCCCTGCCGCTTCAGCCCCTGCCTGTTCCAGCCGTGCCTGGAAACAGCCAGACGTGGATTCTCTGTCTTCCCGGCAGGCACTGGGGACTGAGCAATCGTTCGGCACTTGCTCTTCCAAAATCTGGCCCCTAGGAATACAGCGTCGCTGGGAAGTGGCATTGCCCGAGCTGTTATCACCTGCTTTTATATTTCCGTTGACATATTAATGCATTTGCAGGGATGTTAATCTCCGCAGAGCTCCCGGTGGGAGCAGATGTGCTATATCATGCCCCCTCCCCACTGGTTTCTCCTTTCCATGTCTTTCTGTCGCTGCACACACATGCACCACCCTCCCGGCAGGCCAGCCCCGTGCCCAGGCCTGGAGGGCGCTGTCCTTGGGGAGCCCCGATTCCCACAGGAAGACAGACCTGTGAACAAGCCCAAGTGCGGGGCTGGGGAAGTGCTCTTCTGGGAAGAGGTGATCCCGAGCAGTGACCAAAGATGCATGCCTGCCCTGACGCAGCCCCATCAGACACATGTGGATGACCTGGGCAGCGCCTGTGCCTTGGTGTCCCCGTCTGTACCACACCAGCACAGTGTGCAGTGCTAGGAATCCAGATGGCTCTGGGACCCCAAGGAACCGAGGCTTTGCCAGGGCCCCTGCTAGGCTGTCCTGCTGGCCTTGAACTTGCTGCAGCCCCAGGGGCCGAGGAGCACCACCACAGCCTAGGTGCCGCATTATTTACGAGGCATGGTAACACCGGCGCTGAGCTGCCTTTACACCCAGAACCCACCAGAGACTCTGCGACTTCCCGCTAAATGTCAGGCAGTGCTTAGAGGATGTGACATTTAGAAAGTCACCACTCGGCTGTGCGTGTGCCCGCATAAACACAGTAATGAGGACTGAGTAACATCACAGCGTAAACTTCACCTGCCCAGCCCCCCTCGGGGCCTGGCATGGCCCAGGGTGCCAGGATGGTTCATCCCTGAGGCCCCCGCAAGGCCAGGTTTTACTTCCTGAAACAGCCAGACTGGATCCCAACTCCGGGGCTCAGCTGCTCAGCCTCTGGCCCACTTCTGAACCTCTCTGAGCTCCGTCTGTCCTTCCCACCGCTTCCTAGGGTTATCAGATGTAGCCAAAGAGCTGGGGCTTTCTCGGCAGCAAGCCTGGCCCTCGACACCTTGCTGGGTGGCCCTCACTGTCTCCTCTGTCAGGTGCCCCCAGTCCTGCCCGCTGTGGGCCCAGCACGGTGGCTGCACCTGGCACAGGTGGCGCAGTCCCTCGTCCCCACGCTGCTCCTCACCGGACAGGCGGCTGCTCTGGGAGGGACCCCTGGCACCTCCCAAGTCTGGGCTGGGCCTGACCTGGGCCTGCACAGCCTCTCGGTTCAGGTCCCCAGAGAGGGAGGCATGGGCAGTGCCCTGCAGTACCTGCCTGGAGGCCGCTTGCTCAGTCCCACCCTGTGCCCGCAGTACTTCAAGAAGCAGCAGCGGCTCATCCCCGAGAGGACCGTGTGGAAGTACTTCGTGCAGCTGTGCAGTGCTGTGGAGCACATGCATTCCCGCCGCATCATGCACCGAGGTACGCACCTGCACTGGGGGCACAGGACCCCAGCATGCAGCTGCCCCACCTCCGGGAAGGGGGCCACCCTCAGTGTCTCTAGCCCCCGGTTCCAGTGCTGCTGCCAGCTCTGCTCAGAAAAGCGAACTTTCATGTGGGCTTTGATGTCTGAGTAGGAGTTGGCCGGGCAGAGGACGTGAGACACTTAAAAAGGAGTATTTCCCAACCGTAGACGTCACCCCAAGTTGGGGAGCTCACTTCACTGATCTCTCCTTTTATCCCTGCACCTTCCTGTCACCTGTGTGTGAGGTGTTGCTCTAGTCACTGGGGTACAGCACATATCACCTCACTGATGGCTTTGTCACTGGTTACATAAATTTCCACTGAGAACCTGCTGTGTGTTGGGCACTATTCTAGGCACAGGGACGCAGCTGTGAAAAAGGGACAAGAACACAAACTCCCTGCCCTCCCAGACCTCACAGCAGTCCTGTGAGATAGCTGATGCTAGGTCCATTTTACAGGTGAACAGTGGTGCTGGGCAGAGCCTGGGAAGAGTCTCTGGGGAGGGCACTTTCCTTTGGGTCTGGACATAATCAGTAGGAGTTGGCTGTGCTGTCTCCTGAAAGGCCCTCCCCAGCATCTCCCTACACCAACCCCTCTCCTTCCTCTGCAGATATTAAGCCTGCCAACGTGTTCATCACGGCCACGGGCATCGTGAAGCTTGGTGACCTCGGCCTGGGCCGCTTCTTCAGCTCTGAGACCACGGCAGCACACTCTCTCGGTAAGAGGCCCGGTCTGTGCCTGGAGCCCTGCAGTCCTGGTGACTGTGCCGTGAGATGGGCACACTCCGTGTGGGCCCTTCAGCCACTTAGTGCAGGGAGATCTGTTTTTTGTTGTTGTTGTTTATTTGAGAAAGGGTCTTTCCATGTAGTCCAGGCTGGCCTCAAGCTCACGGGGGTCCTCCTGCCTCAGCCTCCTGAGTGCTGGGATTACAGGTGAACACCATCACACCTGGCCAGAAATGCCTCTTTGAGGCCAGAATTTGCTCATCTTCTCAGAACAGACTCAAGGAGAAGAATCAGGCTGGAGCAGCTCGTGGCTTTGCCCGTCCCCAGCCCCAGGGAGGCCAGCAGGCTGTGTCCGTGGTCTCCTATGCTACTGCCCTGTCTTCCCTGGCTCTCTATGCTCCCCCAAGGGTCCATTCCCATTCCTCCTAGGTGGACATTTGAACTGGCTCCTGCTTTTTTGGGTTTTGAGACTGTAGATCCAGTTGTCTACTCAGCAGTAGTGACCTCGTAGCTGGACTGCGGCTGGGGGTGAACAGGAACTGGTGGGACAGGTGGTAGGGACAGGGGCTGGGTGAGGGACCAGGCTGAGCAGTGGCTGGGTGTGGCCAGAAAGGTGGGCAGGGCCCTGAGTGCCGAGCTTAGTGGACTGAGCAGGCCTGACTGTTCAAGGAAGGCGGAGGGGCGAGGCCCAGGGAGCGACCCGTCCTGCAGAAGCCATGGCCGTGAGTCCTGGTGCCTGGTACACAACAGCACGAGACTGGGGATGGTGATTAGGATACAGGAGCCAGCCCCTGTGGGACTGGAAGTAGGGTCTCCTGTGTGGTCACAGGGTGGGCGAGGGTTCCCAGAGACCCCACTTCCCCAGAGCCAGTTCATAGCAGCCCTGTGCCGCCCAGCTCTGGGCAGACACATCCCCGGGCAACAGGAGGGAGCCCCATGGCTCAGACCGGGGTGTCGCTGTCCCCCGACACCTGGGTGCCTGTGGCAGGCTGTGTGTACCAGCAGCGTCTCCCTCCTGTGGAAACCGCCACTGCTCATTCCTGTCTCACGTCTCATGACCCCTTAGACTCAGCAGAGGGCACACACTTAGGAGCGAAGTCCAAGCCGCTCCTGGCCATGGAAGAGGACGGTGTCCCTGTCCAAGCCTGGGGACGCCTGGCCAGGCGCCTCCTTTGGCTGCAGCAGGAAGGATGTGCAAGGACCGTCTGTCCCTGGGGCTTTAGGCTGCTCCATTCTTTGGTAGCCCTTGGGGTCCATGGGGTCTTGAATCTGAAGCCCAGGAGCTGGAGTGACTTCTACAAGGTCACAAGGGTCTGAGGCAGGACAGGAACTCGAGCGACTCAGGCCAGAGCCCATGGTTGTTCCAGAGGCTGGGCTGGGGGCCTCAGAAAATGACGTTAGTGCCTGTCTGGGGTTCATCTGGGAACTCTGGCTGTTGACTGTCACTGAAAGGAAACTTTGTCTTTCCCAGCCCTTTCTGACACTCTTCTTCTAAAAAAAGTGTTTTGGTTATTGGATTGTTTACCTAGCTGTGGTTTTTTTGGGTTTTGTGTTTTGGGGGTTTTTGGTTTCTTTTTTGCAGTGCTGGGGGTCAACCCAGGACCTTGCACAAGCGTGCTGCAGCCCTACCCTCCTGCTGGCTTCGAGGAGGCCAGAGCTTGGGGGGGCTGTCAGAGGGGAGTGTGGCGCTGCCTCCTGGGCACCGTCACTCAGGCCTGAGCCCCACCGTCACGCTGCAAAGACAGGCACTCCGTCAGAGCCAGTTAGGATCACATCATTAGGGACAGGCGGAGATACAGGCTCCTCCGACAGTGCAGTTTCATCCACTTGGACTGGTGCACTTATTGTATTAATGAGAAGGAATTGGAACTTGGGAAAAGGCTGCCCCCGGAAGCCAGGCTTTTCCCGAGGCCTCGGCATGGCCAACCAGGTCACATGATGAATGGATGGAGCCCTCACGGAGACTGTCCCCACCCTGGGCCGTGTGCCCAGCGTCTGAGACACCACTGAGCTAGGGCCTGCATAGTGTCTTTGCCAGGCCCCGTGGGATGGACGTGTTCGGGGAGCCAATGGCCTGTCTGCGCCACCAGGGCTCCGTGCTGATAACAGCGCCCAGCTGCAGCCTAGAAACCAGAAGTCTGTGTGCAGTGAGGTTCTGCTGACAGCTGGCTGAGTCCTTCACACACACCAGCTTGGGCTAGAGATTGAACTGATAGCTGTTGTAAGGTGACTTGGAGGGGACATGGGGCGGGGCCCTGAATTCACACCTTGTCAGTGGAGTGAACTATGTATTCGTGTGTGGTGTGCACCTACTACGTGCTGATGCCTTGGCGGCAGCCGGTTACCCCAACAGCCACCTCATCTCCGAAGGCTGCTGGCCCAGGAGCTAGGCTTATGCAAATCCCATCTCCGCCTCCTCCTGCCTCTGTATTTGCTAACACGAGGCTGGCATGAAAGGGCATTAGTCAGTGCCATGGTCGGGCTGACAGGTGCGGTACCCAGCAGTGGCAGAGCGGCTGCCTCAGCGTCAGGAATAGGAGCCGTAATTAGAGCGCGGAACAGAATGAGCGTCAGACGAATTACCAGGCAGCAGATCATATTTGTCAGGAAGGATTGCATACATAAAAATTAAGTGACAGTACACGCCGGCGTAATGAAAGAAAAATGAAAGATTTGCCTATACACAGCTCACAAGCTACAAGCAAGTGTCTCGCTCCGAGCAATGGCAGCAGCTGCAAGACAAATTGTGGGGCTGGAGAGCAGAAGGGCAGGCCCTGCCATTCGTTCAGCAATACTGACAGGGCGGTGGCTGGCAGGCTGGGGTGGGACGGGAAGCCAGTGCACACCCACGGCCAGGCAGGGTGCCGCGTGGGTGCTCTGGGGCCCAGGGAGCCAGGGCTGTTGGGGGGCAGCCTGTCAGGGACCAGCTGTCAGCTTCCTTCTCCTGCGGAGCTGTCTAGCCCCGGGCTGGGCACAGGGGACATGCAGCTCTGCAGCCTTCCTTGTGTTCGGCAGTGACAGGCAGTGCTAGGTGGCCTGGTGAGGGGTCAGGTGGAGCCACTCCCACAGGCCCCCTGCACACAGGCAAGTGCTGCTCCCTCGGTGGCCACACCAGGCTGTGACATATCTGTCCTAGGTGCAACGAGTCCTCATAGCCAGACACCACCTGGGACGCATGTCACGAAGGCAGAGGCCTCTCGCTGCCCTGGCCCCATCCCAGCAGCCCAGACACCCAGCGACCATCCTCCTGTACGCTGGTGTCAATGGGCACACCTCGGCCCGAGGCACAGCCGTGGTTCTGAGCTGCTGACGCCTGGTGGGAGGTCACAGGAGGATGCACACAGCTGGCTACTCTGCCACCTTCCTGGCAATTTCAGGGGCCCAAACTGCTAGAAAGACAGGAGCTGCCACCGGAGTGGGGCGAGGAGGGTCTTAGGAGGCAGTGTGTGAGGAGTCAAGCTGATCTTATACTGCAAGGCAGGGCTCAGTCATTCGTTGAATCGTTCACTCATCACTCAGCAGTGACTTTTGCTGGGTCTGGTGCTCCTTCCGGAGAAGGCTGACCTGGCCTCCGTCCTAGGCAACCTCCTGCCATGGAGGAAACCAAGGTACTTGTCACCGGGATCCCAAACACAGCTCTGATCACCACTGCCCGAGTCCCAGAGAGAGAACACGCTTCCGAGGGGAGGGCACTGTTGTGTGGATTCGGAGGCGGGCTGGGGCTGGGGCAGGGTGTCCGAGCTCCTTCAGGGAGCGCCTGATATGGCCATGCCCACTGGCTCCAGCTCTGAGTCTTGCCCTTGGCTCCTATGGAGGGACCAGTGCCTAGCAGGGGCACCCAGCTGGGACCCCTTCCTGGCGCACGGATGCCACAGCTCATTTCCGCAGCCCATTTCAAAAGCGCCATTCAGGGAAGGGGCAGCTTGCAGACACCAGCCTCTCCTTCAGTGAAATCCACCTTTTTCATATCTAATGAACATGTTTCCAGCGCCGTGAGCATTTCAAAACACAGCAAAGTTTGTTTTGACAGGAGCAGCACATCCGGGAAGGGAAGCAGGCGCTTTAATCAGCTTCCCCCTCTGAGGCCCCGCCTCCTCCTCTCATATCTGCTGGGTTTGAAATCGTGTGTTCTGGGTACAGACTGGAGAAGAAGGTCAGGGTGTGCAAGGCTCCTCTCTCCTATGTGCAGCCGTATCCCCCGCTGCGAGGAGGGACTCGGGCCTGGGTGGCGCAAGCTCTGTGCATGGCGCCAGGCGAGCCGTGCTGCCCACAGAGGTGCCCAGGCCGTGCCTTTGTCTGTGGAGACGCTGCCTCCTGCCAGCTTCTCCTATCTTCCCCGGAGTCCCTGCTTCCCTGGGGGCTGCAGATGCATCCTCAGTGGCCCGCTGCAAGCTCAGGGTTTCTTTGAAGTCTCTTGTTTCATCTTGAAAACTCACGCAAGTTGTACATTGTGCTCCATCGCGCCTGAGCATTTGTTGCTGGTAGAAAACCCAGCTGTTCGCGGCTTAGGCCCAGGCAAAGCTGGCATAGCGGGGAAGACATCACACCCCCTTGGCACAAGTGGCAGGCACCCCTGGTGAGGAAGAGCACCCCACCTTACAATGCACCGACTCAGGGGGCAGCTGGGGTGGAGAATGTGCCAGGGGGTGGGGACCTGAGGACCCAGAGCTGGGTCAGTGTGAGCCAAACCTCCCGGAGTTAACACTTTGTAGTGCGCCAGGGTCTGTCCCAGAGGTGTCTTCTGCGCGACTGACATCTGCCCTGAGGATCCCAGTACCAGCCAAGAGCCTGTGCTCTGGCTGTGACCCTCACCTGCTCGCTCCACGTGGCAGTGGGTTCACTTCTGATCTCTCCTGGTGGGGGTAGAAGGTGCCACTCCGCCTGCCCTGTTGGGCCCTCGTACCCAGACAGATTCTCTCCTGCCTTCTGACTTGGGAGGAACTGACGTTCCTTGTTTTAACAAAAGCTTCTCTTTTATGGTTAGTGCCTTCCCTGTCCTGCTTGAAAACTCTTAGGCGACCCCAAGACAGGACCAGAGCTGGCTGTGGAAAGTAACTAAGTGTTCACTTTCTGGGGCTTCTGGACCTTGGGTCAAACCTGCTCCTGCTGCTTCTACCTGAGCGCCCTCACCCCAGCTTCAGTTTCCCCATCTGTCAACTGAGGGCTGTCCGTTACGCGAGTGAGGCTGTGTGGAAGGCTTGCTCCGCATCATCAGCGTTGTTGCTGTCCTCTCCCTGTTGAGAGCTTGATCTAGACCCTTCCAGGTCAGGCCCCTTAAAGGAATCTGGTTACTTATTTCCATTCCCCACCCAGCTGCACCCTGATGCTCAGCTCTGGGTGGATCTTTGGAATCCACTTCCAGATCTGTAGCCTGGATGCCTCCAATCTGCCCGGCCGTCTCACCTGGAAGAGGACAGGACAGGCTGGAGGACAGGGCTGCCCAAAGACCAAGGCTGGTCTCCATCCTCCCCGAGCCCTGTGCGCCTGCCCCAGTCTGGGGCTGGGTCTAAGTCCCACCCCTTGCTGTGTTTCAGTTGGGACCCCGTACTACATGTCGCCAGAGAGGATCCACGAGAACGGCTACAACTTCAAGTCTGACATCTGGTCCCTGGGCTGTCTGCTCTACGAGGTGAGCCTCTGACCCCCAGCTCCACGGCCTTTGGGGGGCACCACATGGGTAGGGCTCACTTTCCAGTTCAGGGGGACTGGAGCAGTACATGTCCACTGTGGGCACCAGGGCCATCCGGGACCCACCCTCGCCCCCACCCACGTGGCCTAGACAGTGACATCGCGCTGGGACTGGCTCATTCGTGGGCTGCTTGGATCTGGGAAGGGGACAGGCCAGAAGCAGACCAAGGGAGCATGGGCATGGGACCCAGCTGCCCAGACGACAAGTGCCTGCCTAAGCCCCTTTCCTGGTTTCCTTGGCAGCCACACCCACCCACTGATGATTTTGCTCGCTGCTCTTTATTTGTGATGTGTCAGGTCCAATCCAGGGTGCTGGGGACAGGAGAAGAATTAGGGCTGCCTTGTGCCTCTGAGTCACTTCCCCTCTGAAGGCATCCACATCTCGCAGAAGGCTGTACCCCTGCCCTGAACCATGAAAGGGGACACCAGAAAGCCGTTTCAGGGCTGGCAGACAGCTGGGCCGAGGAACAGCACCATGTCTCAGTGGACTTGGGCATGAGACAGCAGAAGTACACAGAGGCCACACCCATTTTGGCCACACTGGGATCCCATAGCCAGGGAAGTGGGAAGCACTGGTTATCCTTAGCTGTGAAGGGCAAACAACTAAGGCACCAACAGCAGGGAGACCACACTCTCCTGCCACCCTGGAAACCCAGTGCTGGGTGGCTGCAGCTCCAGAGTCCCCATCTGTAAAATGGGAGCAGTGGTTCCTGCCCTGCATTGTTGGAACCTTGATAATGAAATGACAGATAAGAGAGAGCTTCAGTTTTTATAACTAGAAACTTGATCATCTTTGCTTTCCCCGGAGCCCCTGTGGGTCGGCATGACATTGATCAGCTGAAAGGACCTCCCCATGAAGCCAGCATGGCTGGGGACGGTCTGTGACACTTCGACAGTGTCCAGGGCTGTGTAAATGTTGACATCCAGGAAGACTACTTTGCTTCCTGGGGACGGGCAGCTCTGACTGCAACCATATCTCATGCATCAGCCCAAGACGTGGCACCCCCGAACCATGCCACACAATGTGGCAGCCCTCGTGCCCAGAGGCTCTGGACAGTAGGATCTTCCCTCCCTTAGTGCCAGGTGGACACCGTGACGTCAAGCTGTGTTTCCTGTGAAGTTCAGACAGGTTCAGTGTCTTCGTAAGCCCTTGGCCCGGAGCTGCTAAGAACAGACATGTCCTTTCTCTGGGACTCTCAGAGCATCAGGTGTAGAAGATTGTAGAACACCTAGCTGGGATGCCCACTCGATGTCTGCCTCAGAGCGGGGGCGTGCAGAGCACAGCTCCCCCATCCTGTCTCTACCCAGTTTGGCTCCTGGGTGGACTGGGAGCCAGGAGTGGCTGAGCCAGGTGGGTGGGTGAGCCTGGCAGCAGACAGTGGGCACAGAATGCGGGAGGAAGTCACTGTCTTTATTTTTTATTTTTTGAAGTAGGGTTTAGCTGTGTGGTTCAGGCTGGCCTGGAGCTCCTGATCCTCCTTCCTCACAAGTGTGTGCCACTGTGCCCAGCCTCAGAAGTCAGTGACTTTAGCAAGAGGAGCAGAGAGATGAAAATCAGAACTGTCCTCAGCAGGGAGAACAGGAAAAACCCTGCCTGCCTCGGGTGCCTGTGTGTGGAGACACTGAGCACGGCCCAACAAGGCTGTCTCTCTAGCAACACACCGCCCTTAGCAGCAGGGGTCACTGGTCACACAGGGCCAGCCTGGGACTGGTGCCCATCACCCAAGATGAGCCGTGGGTCCAGGGTCTCTCTAGCCACCCTGCCATCCTGTCACATCAGCAGATAAATGGTGGCCGCCTCTGAGTGGGCATTGTCCTGCAGGGAAGGGACGGCTGTTCCAGGGCTCCCAAAGCCCAAGCCAGTGCCCTCAGCATAGGGGCAAGGAGAATGTGATTGTGAACTGGTGAGCGTGACTCACAGCTGTGTCACTGGGGGAGAGATGCGGTGGCGGGCAGGAGCCCAGCCTGCACCCACAGGGACCCAAGCTCCAATCCCAGTGCCATGCTCCACATGGCATGGGTCCCAGCCTGCCTGCGGTGAGGCAGAGGAGGCCATGGTATGGCATCTGCCTAGCCCAGAAGCACCCTCACCTCGTCCACGAGCACACTGACCCAGTGTAAGCTGAGTGTCTGGTGCTTGCTGCCTGCCTCTGGAGGCAAGGCTCTGGCAGCTTGCCATGTTTCTCATTTTGCGTTGGCCAGTGGGAAGCCACCCTGCAGCTCGGCTCCAGTCCCCAGGGAGGAGTCCCCTCTGTCCTCCTATCCTCATGTATATTATGCCTAGTCCAGATGATTTTGTTTTCCTTTTCTTTTTCCATTCTGTGTTTTCTATTTTCTGAAAGCTGTTTCTTGCCCTGTGTGAGCCATGGGGGTCCCTACACATAAAAACAGGCCAGCCAGGCTGGAGGAGCACTGTGTGCATCTCCTAGACTGCTGGGCAGCTGGCTCCTTTGCCCGAGAAACAGCCTTCATTGACACTTGAGCTGCCGCTGGGTAACCTGTGTCATGTCTGCCAAGGCAGTGGCCCCCTTAGTGGCTCCCACTCCCCCTACACAGGCTCCCGCTCTGCAGGGCTGATGGATCTGTTGGCAGTGCGTGGGGCAGTGCCATTCACAGCCAGGGGGACATCAGCCATGAGAAGTCAATGGAATCAATTGACTGCGTCCCCTGGGGTTGGACGTCCGACCTCATGGCTCCCGCTGGTGGCCCCCTCCCCACCGCCATGGCCCACGGGAAGAAGTAGATGTTTCCCAGCAGACAGGGCAGAGCGCATCTGGGCCAGGGCTGTGTAATTAGAAGGAGACGTCCCGCAGTCACGACTTCAGGCTCCGCTGCCGGCAGCCTGTGGTGTCCTTCTGAGGCACTGCCTGCGGAGCTGTGACAAAAGCCCCCACCACTCCAGATAGCCACTGAGAACTTGGGTGGTACTGGTGGAACATGGGTTGGGGCCCGAGGGGCACACAGTCCCCCAGCAGGACCTCCCTGGCCCTGGCGTGACTTCGATCTCCAAAGGTCCCTGTGTCCGTGTCCTGCGGTGGCTGCAGCAGATGACTAGATTTGATGGCTTCACACAGCATCTGCCCTGTCAGTCCTGGAGGCCAGAAGTTCACCACCAGTCTCACGGGGCTGCAGTCAGGGACTGCAGGAGGTGGGCAGGGCTCCCTTAGGGCTCTAGGGATCACTCTGTTCTGTGTCCTTTCTGGGGAAAATGGGGAAGCCGCCCACATCCGTGGCCCCTGCTCCTATCCTTGCAGCCTCTTGCTTAGCAGCACTGCCCTACATATCAGGGTGCAGTGGTAATGTGGGGTCCAGGATAACATCCCGGGAGCCTGGGTTTCATCCCATCTGCACAGTCCCCACATTGCCTCATAGCCAGTGAGGAGTCACCACTCCCCTGGCCCGTGCCCTCTGTGGGTGTCCTGCAGAGGACTGCGGTCAGGCTCTGGAGAACTGTGCGTACCAGCCAGCTGGTGACATTGCCCTGGACATCAGAGTGCACCACAGGAATCGCCTTGGAGGGCCTGGTGCTTTATTTTCATTACCAGTGCAGCTCATGAGGCACCCAGTGGGCCACCTGAGCTCGGCAGGATTTACTTAATTATATAGGAGCTCAGCTCTGAGCTCGGAGCAGAAGGAATTGGCGTGCCTGATGCCAGGACCTGGGGACAGGGCTCTCAGTAGTCGATGGAGACCCAGGAAGGACATGGGCTGCAGGAGCTCAGCTGTGCCTGGCATGTAACACCACTCGGATTCCGGCCTGGGCAGCTGGGAGGCCAGTGCCCTGCTGAAGACTGCGTGGCCTCTGGGCCACCCTTCCCTCCAAGATGTTCCAGAGAAGTCCTGGGTGACAAGATGGGCGTCTGTGGCCTTGACGGATGCTGTCCTTTTTCTTGCTAAAGTCCCATTCCCCCTTCTCTCTCTGATATCTCCAGTCATGCACCAGTTTCTCCCAGCCCCCCTAGCCAGGCAAGCGCCCGCCCACCCTTGGCCTTGGCCATGTGTCATCCCAGTAACTCCCCAGAGGGAATGTTTTCTGAGGACGCGCAGCACTGAGCTATGGCCCTGGAGGCACTAACAAGGAAGAGCACCAACCCCAAACAGCTCCTTACCTGCTCTGAGCAGCCAGAAACTGGGGATCTCGCCATCCCGGGTAATCCTAATCCCAGTGTCGCTGGCAGCCCGAGTTTCCTTCAGGGTCCGCTGCCCTGATGTGGAAGGCTGAGGCTGGCACCTGGAGGGGGCTGCAGGGAGGAAGGGGACACTGCAGTTTGGGGTGAAGCCAAGGGTCCTCTGGTGCAGCCCACTGCTGACCCTATGCAGAAAGGTTCCTGACAAGGCTGTAAGGCAGGTGCTGGGAAAGGGAGGGCAGATGCAGGGGCTTCCTGCCTCCAGTTTCCTGGACTCCCAAGCAGCCAAGTTTGTGATCAGATTGGCCTGCTGGACAACGGGTCCCTTGCATAAAAAACTAGGGCTTGCATTGGCAGGGCCAACATCAAATGCCCTGTCTACCCCGAGCAGAAGCCATCTCCAGGAAAATCCATCTGGAACTTCCAGCCACGACTCAGGGCCCACCCAAGTCACCCCCGTGACTGCCCTAGAGCCCCAGCTGCTCTCTCATGCGGCAAGAGATGTCCTTTGGAAACTGCCCAGTTAACCCCAGCACCTGAGTCTCCCATTTAAATGTCTGGAGATGCATCGCCCTAGTCAGGCCATTAGCAGAATGGGTTGCAAAGCCGGCTCCCAGTCAGGTCTCCTCCCCTGCCAGCTGCCTTTCCTGCAGGGGTGAGGAGGGGGCGTAGTGGGAACAGCAAGCAGCGATGCTGCCCCCACACACCCACACAAAACGCAAAGCCAGGCCAGGCACTGCGCCCTCAAGTGCCACCTGGGGCAGACTCCTGGACCTGACCTAAGGAAACCTAAAATGCTGTCTCCTCGAGGCCACCTCCAAACCCAGGGACACTGCCCATGGGCGCAGGTATGAAGAGGATGGGGGAGAGGACGCAGCAAACTGAAGCCAGAGGCCCACAAGGCCCACTTCCTTTGGCTCCTACTGGCCCCAAGATAGGACTGGACAAGTAGGGGTTCCTTGGGTGTCCCAGTGCCAGTGCCGAGGCCCTCTGGACAGCCACTTCAGTGTGGATCAGAGGAGGACCCAGCCCTATCTGGAGTCCTTCTGGGCCTTGAGGCTGGAACTGACCCGATGTCTTTTCCCCTGCAGATGGCTGCCCTCCAGAGCCCCTTCTATGGAGATAAAATGAATCTCTTCTCCCTCTGCCAGAAGATCGAGCAGTGTGATTACCCTCCTCTCCCTGGGGAACACTACTCTGAGAAGGTGAGTCAGGAAGCCAAAGCCCAGCCTGGTGACCCCAGGCAGCCATGGGCCTCCAGGAGGCTGAGTCTGGGCTTACTGTGCAGGGTGGGGAAGGGAGGAGTTCTGGGAGGCACCAGGCCAGCAGTGGGGTTGTTCTTCTACTGGAGGAGTTCCACAGATATAGCGCAGCCCCCAAAGGCGGCAGCCAGCAGATGGAGCCACTGGCACCCTACTGGCTCCCAGCTCCACCTGTTGAAGGCTCCTGTTGTGGGTGTGATCCTGAGGTCCTCCCGGGCCCTACCCATGATCACACCCACGCCTGTTTTCTCAACAAGGAAACCAAGGTCCAGCCCAGCAAAGGAACTTGCCCAAGGTGACAAAATGAACTCCGATGCCCCTGCCCCTAGCCACAGTGCCATCCTGTCTCAGTGGCACGTCCCCACATCAGCCAAACATCCAGGGGTGAGACCTGGAAGGGGCTGCCCTGTGCACAAAGGGCAGAGTAGGCACTCGGTGGGGTCCAGATCGGCCACCCCTCAGAGTAGGCTGCGCAGTGCCCTTGGGCGTTGCCACCTCCAGGAGCAGGTCCAGGGCCAGGCAGTTGTGCAGTGCCCTCCTCTCCTGACTGTGCCTCAGCGGCTGTCAGAGTTCTCATGGACACCTCTGGAGGAAGTATTTGTGCTCTGGAGTGCAAGTTGACAGGAAAGGAAAAACGAGTTCATTTCTTTAAAGTTCCTGGCTGCATTTGCTTTCTTCTCTTTTTTGTTTAAATTTGGACCTTGTACTATTCAGAAGCAAGAAGTTTAGAGCCACGCAACTGGGCACAAATGCCAAGTAATCTGCCTCAGCTCCCGTCCACTAAAGGGTGCTGTCCCCGCTCCTTCTGTCCCGAGGCTGACCCCAAAGCCTCTAGGGCTTCTCTCCAGAGCCAGCCACACTGTCCTCCAACACCTGGGCCCTGGGTGCCTACCATCCTGCAGCAGTGTGCAGCACTAGGGCCTCCCAAGTATGGCCCATGACCTCTTAAAACTAAAGACAGTTATTGTTTTGTTTCTTGATTTCTGAAAAATCTCAAACACATACTTATTCCCGACTGCGTGGTCACACAGACCTCACCTTAACCTGGCTTTCTTGGGCACCGTTAACTTGGCAGAGGCTGACCCAGCTGCCTTCCTGAGTTGTGTACAGTAGGTGACCTCACCAGGTGTCTGCTCAGGCTGCAGATTTCCTTGTCATATTTGGGGCCTCCCAATGTTGAGAAAGCACTGGGATCTAAGAATGTCACACAGAGGTGGCAAGCACTGCCTGAGGCTCTAAGGCCAGTTAGAATGAGCAGAGGAAGCCCTTGTCTGTGGATGCTGGGGCCCCAGCCGCTCTGCCTGGGGAGTGTATCGCAGCCCCTGGGCCCCCGGAACAACCCTCCAGCCCTGCTGCAGACCCGCAGCAGTGACCACTGAGGCCATTCGGTCCTCTCTGGTCCAGGACCTCCCCTGTCCCCACAGACAGCAGAGGCACCTGCCCCCACAGCAGCAGGTATTCAAATGGAAAACATTGCAGTGAGCCCAGCCATGCAAGTTAAGGCATAGGCTTTTTAAGGTCATTATTTTAATTACCATTAAAATAATTGGCACCCTGGCTATCAGAAGGGGAGGCGATCAGAGGCTCAAGCCGCCCCTCCCCCAGCCCAGGCAGGCGAAGCCCTCAGTGTCTATAATTAAAAGAGCCGTCTTTCATGAGCACAATGGAGAGGCCAGGGGGTGGGCAGACTGCAGCCCTGCTGCATGTTAATGCATTTATTATGATCAATAAGCCCTTTCCTTGAGTCAGGTCCTCGGATTTGGGCCTCTGCGTGACTGACAGCAGCCACACACCCAGGACGCACATACACGCACGCGCGCGCGCACACACAGACAGACAGATCGACCCAAAGGTACACACGGTCCAGAGTTCAAAATTACTTGGTGATAACTACTCTCAGGGTCTCCAAGCGTGGCCTTGGGCCAGACAGGCCAGGGAGTGGCCCTGCATGTCCCTTGGGAGCTTGTGGCTGTGCACCCATCACTTAGCCTTGCACAGCATCATTTTTCACCTCTAATAGGGACAACAGTAGCACCTTCTGGGCTGCAAGGATTCGATGCACCGCTGTGGACAAAAACGCTGCTAAGGCTGCTTTCTTAATAACAGCAACTGCTTTCTCCTTGCAGCTCCGAGAACTGGTCAGTATGTGTATTTACCCTGACCCGGACCAGAGACCGGACATCGCGTACGTGCACCAGGTGGCCAAGCAGATGCACGTGTGGATGTCCAGCACCTGAACGGGCTCCAAGCCTCATCAAAAGCCAACACCACTTTGCCTTACTTGAGTCTTCTCCTGAAGCAGCCTCCTGCAGCCTGAACAGCTGAGACAAGAGGGTTCAGTGGGTCCCCCGAAGGCGGCCAGCCTTTGCAGCAGATGCGAATGCAGAGCAGCCAGGTGACAGTCAAATCCCAAAGTCCTTTCTCTCTACTGTCTGGACCATCTCAGCTGGCTTGTTACCAAGTGGGGGTTCAGCAAGCTGCCGAAGCCCCCTGAATCCGGACTCTAATGTGAATCTTTGGGGAATTGCAAGACCTGCCCAAGTCTACGCTGGCAGGAGACTTGCAGGGGACGCTGTGACTTGTGCAGTGAACCTCTGACAATGGTCAGCAGCAAGTTCAGTTTAGTTCTTAGTATCTTTCCAATCAAGCTGTGTGCTCAATTTACTCTGTTGTAAAGGGATAAAGTGGAAATAATTTTTTAAACTAGTGTAGCGCTTTCACTAATATTTTGTCTGCATTTTATAACTTGATGAGTGATGACAATCCAGCACCTAGCAGAGCTTTGAGAGGCAAATAGTACCTGAAAGCCAGGTTCAGGCGGTCTGGTTATTCATCTCCTGAACCTTTGCCGTGTTCTGGGTTCCCCGTCACCTCCTGGAGTGCCGGTGGCTCGTTTCATGACCAGTGTTAAGCATTTCCCTCTGTGCCAAGGAAGCATGGGCTACAAGCTTTGGGCTCTTGGCAAATTCTGGTTCTATACCTTTCTTAGTGTGACCTTGGACAAGTTTCTTAGCCTCTGAGCCTTAAGTTTCCTCATCTCTAAAATGAGACTAATACTATCGACCTTCGGGTTGCTGAGAGAATTCAAAATAAAAGATGCACGTCAATTAGTACATTGCAGATGACCCCAAAGCAGTAGCCATTCACCCTTCAGAAAACTAAGCCCATGGGCCATGCACGTCAGAATTAAAGTGCAACTGTATTATGTGTAGGAAATCAAATATGTTCATTTATTGCTTGTTCCCAAATAGGATTAACTGTGAAAACTAATTTATAAATGTGAATTTAAGCAAATTCAAGCTCTAGAAGTAGTTTGAATTGTGTTTTTATATGCAAGTTAACCTTCACTGGGTTCTCGGTCAGGTGTGTCCTGACCTCACCTGGCTGACAGGGCCCCCGGGAGGCCACTGCTCTTCGTGACACCTTCAGGCTTTCAGAGCTGTCTCCAGATGCCCTTGTGTTTGCAATAAAGTGGGGAGAGGGGCACTTTGTGAAGGGAGTGCTTTGGAGGTTGAGAACAGCTTCCAACAGTTTCCTCTTCAACTGGGAGATCCTAAACCAAACACGTCAGCAGCACAACTTCTTGAGAAGCTTTGGAAAACAGCTCATCAGGCCCCGGACATTCTGAGTAATCTCGGAATTTTCTTAAGCTCCCAAATGGTTCTGACAGCTGTCAGCCGTCAGCCAAGTGGCAGCTGCAGTAATGGCACTCATCTCCCTGGCCCACTCCAAGGGGAGCTGCCTCAGGTGGGCACAGCCTTGAGTTTTCTCGTGGGGGGAAATTGGCACCCGTCTCCTGCCCAGCACCAGCCAAAGTTTTCCCAATTCCAGACAGATTTTGTGTGTGGGGGGCGTACATAATTCTGCTTCTGGCTCTCAGAGCCCCTTGGCACAGGCAGCCTCAGCACACAGAGACCTTGCTTGCCACATACCACCCACTTTACCTGACCAAGAGCGATCTGCCCAATGGAACTTACTGTCTCCAGGGTTCCCAGGCTGAGGGCTTGTGACACGGTCACATCCTAATTGTAAGTCCCAGGACATTCCTCTGATGTCCATGAAACTGCCAGAGTGGGCTCACCTGGCTTAGTGCAGCAATGGGAAAGCTGACTATCCTGTCTACCTGTTCTTGGTGCTGTGAACTAGACAGGGCCTGAGAATGCAAACGTGGGAGCCTTTTCTTTACTTTTGCAGTGCTGGGGGTAGAACCCAGGGCCTTGCTCTACCACTGAGCTACAGCCCAAGGCTCATCTGTGATCCTGCCTGGCTGCTGATACAGAGGCTGCCTGCAGGCATCAATCTGTTAGGACACTGTGCCCTGGGCAGGGCCTGGGAGCTGCAGCAGAGGAAAACAGGGGTGTTCACCTGAGGAACCAAAGTGAACACACAGCTCTGGGCCAGAGGCAGCCTGCCCTGTTCACAGGGAGGCCATGCTGCTGACACCCAACCAGAAAGGTTCTCCCAGAACGATTAGGAACCTGAGAGGCCCAACCAGTGGGCCTTGGTGGCCCCCCAAAAAAATCTCAGAGTCCTCAAACCTCATCCACCCACTGTGGTATTCATTTTTATTGAGCTCTGTTCCGCAAACAGCCAAATGAGTATCTTCCGGAGGGCTCCCTCGCCCCCAGTCTTCAGGGCAGTATCCCACCGCCCCACTGACCCTTCAAGAAGTATCCATCGTTTGGACAGTCTCCTCCAGCACCTCAATCTCCAAAGTGGTGACTTTTTCGGTGAGGACTGCAGTGGTCCCCTTCTCACATCTATACCGGCCAAACCTAGTGAGAGAAACAAAGGCAGAGTTAGGATTCTCCTCCAGGTCTGCACAGAGAGCTAGAGAGTGCAGCAAGCAGGGGCCACACTCCACTCGGTCCAGAGAAGTCAAGTCCCGAAGGATCCCTTCCCACAGTCTCCAAGGGCTAAGAAACAAACACCTGGTAGGGATATAATCTTGGCACCCAAGAGAAAATCCAGATGGCACCTGCCCCGTGTGTGCTGCAGCGTCCTGGAGTGTCACCTCCCCCATACATGCTGGAAACACTGGGCCTTGGGGCTGGAGGCTTCCACCTCTGAGTGCCTGTTAGCAGCCCGCACAGGTAAAGCCTCTCCTTTCCACTGCAATCATCCTGTTCTCAGCAACAAGGCTGGCTCAGCCACCATCTTCGACACACTAAGCTGTCCGGAAGCACCAACTATAAAAGCATCTGCGGCCAGATTCCAAGCCTGTCACCTTAGCCCACACTCTCATGATTCAGGTTAACTGTCTGTCTCCTGCAGAGAAATGATAGATCATCACAAGGACATAACCTCTTTTGGGGGTACAGGGGGAAGGCAGTCATCAGACACACAGGTGAGCTGTTAATTCACAGAGGGGCCAGGAGTTCTGACACAGTCAAACAGAAGCATACACCCAATTGTGTTCTGGTCTGTCCCCAGCTGGCACAGACTTACGGAAGGAAGGCTGCTGGCTTTGCCATGACCACATGCTCCTGGGAAAGTTGTCCTCTCAAATAGTTTCTTGGGCTCACAGAGGGAGCAGGAAGCCAAAAAAGTGGGCACGGATAGAGTTCTGCATCACACTCTGGAGCTGGGGCAGAAGGGCGGGCCTGTCGTACTCCTGCAGAATCTTCTCACCCAGCCTACTCTGCACGGGACTGAGCAGCTGCACTTTCCAAAATGCACCCTCACCGCCCTGGTACCTGAGTATTTCTCAGCCCACTATGCTGGGACCTTGGCAGCACCAGGCAGTCGTGCAGCCACAGTCCAACGGGCCCTGTGTGTATGCCACACCTGAGCTGCACCTCAATGTCTTCGGGAGGCACAGCCCACAAAACACCACGAGGGCCTGTGTGGGGCAGGTTTCTACCACCTGCAGCGGTGGATGGCACAGCACAGAGCAGCGACTGCAGCCCATAGGGCGAGGGCCACAGTGGCACTGGCCTCTGGCTCTGCCCCCACCTACTGTCCATTCTGAATTTCAAAGGATCCGCTTCACCCAGGTGGTGCCCCCATCATCAGTCACTGGCCGAGAATGACACTGGGATTCCAGAGTGTGGACACTGTTACTACAGTACCCTCTGCCCCAGCCACTGAGGAAAGCGGCCCTGTCCAGAGGGCAGGTCACTGTCCATCCCTCCTGGAACACCTGGTCATTTTGTTTCTGTCCGAATGTATGGTCTTCTTTCCAGGTGAGAAACACGGGCCGTGACTATGCTCCTTTTTCAACCACACATACAGCTCTCCAACGGCTCACACAGAGCCCTCAGAATCCCCACCCAGGACCCTGTTCAGTCTGGATGGCGTGGCACCTCCCCTCTCCCACCACTCCCTGGCTCCCATCTTCAGGGAGCTGGGCTAAAATTGCTCCCCCAGAAAGCTCTGTGCCTGATAGTTGCTTCCCTTCCCGCTCAAGGCCCAGCCAACTTTGTGGGCTTCTTAGACCTTACCTAGTCCGGCTCCATCACTTCAAGTGCAGGAAGTGATGCCCACAGCTGAGCCAGTCAGCAGCCTCCCCAGAGTTCTGGGCTGCTGGGATGCCCCGGCCCATGGAGATGTACCAAGCACCCACAGTGACACCCTGTCCTTGCCTTTCAAGGAGAGCTGGAGCTTCAGATCTGCGGTGCGGGATAAGAGCAGGCACTCAGGGAAAGCAATCTGCCCCCGCAAAGATCAAAGACACTGCTCGCTCACTCCAGTGAACATGGCTGAAGCAGAACTCTGGAGCCACGTGCTGGGCTGCGTGGACTCCAGGAAGAGGTCAGGAGGTGACCTGGCAGCTGGACACCCCTGAAGAACCACTGAGGAACTGGTGCACACACATCACTGTCTGTTCCACACATCAACTAGAACCTGACCCAGCTGCCCTGAACCTGGGCTACAATGACACAAGTGCCCACTGGCAAGGCATATGCCACAGTGGCACAACTCTAGTGTTGTGAACATGGTCAGCTCAAGGCTCCACTGAGGTGCTCCCAGCTGCTGTCTTACAGCCTTGTCAGTCTCTTGGACCAGGGTGAGGAAAAGTACACCTCCTCACAGAGCTCCATTCTGTGGTGTGATTCCTTTCAGAAAGGAAGGAGATGCCAGGACCCATCCGCCCCAGCTCTCTGCCTGAGGGCACTCTCCGGGGCCCACCCCTCTCCCACCAGCACACTCTGCATCAAGTCACTTTTCTACACCCAGCAGTGGTCTGATGTCACAGTGCAAATGCTGGCAGGCTCAAAGGTCTGTGTGTAAGGCTGGTTTGGGACACTGGCTTTCCTCCCCATGGAAAAGGACTCAGAACACCCGGGCACACTGGAAGAAGGTCACCCCTTCACTCACCTGGTCCCCTTCTTGTTGGGCACTGAGAATGGGCGAAGAAAGTCCAGCTTGTTCTTACTGATGACACATAGATCAATGTTGCTCCCAGACCCCAGGTCATTGAAGATGCCAGCTGCAATGGCTTCACTCACCAGCTTCTTGGCCTCCTCCTCCTGAGACAGAAAAGGGCAGCTGTAACACAAGGTGCCCACAATGAGCTGCAGGCCTGCTGTGAAGCCCCAAAGTGCTCTCACGGTGGAGCTCAAGATATGGGAGCTACATATTGTTTCCCACACTCATTTTACAGAAGAAAAGATCTCAAAGAGCTCCAATGCCTGCCTAAAGCTGCTCTGCTGCTCAGTGGGGACCTGGGCCTTTCAAACTCTTAATGCACTCAGCCCACTTTTACCATAGCTTCACATTGCAGAGCCACCACAAAACAGGGAACTATGGGGCTGACGTTTATCATCTAAAACAGGTCAAGACTTTCTTCTTGTAAAGGGTCAGGTTGTAAATATTTCTGCTTTTGTGGGCACACCAGTCTCACAGCTGCTCATCTCTGTGATGGTAGCATCAATAGCCACTACAACACATAAGCAATAGGTATGAGTGTTTCCCAGTGAAACTTTATTAACAAAAACAGGTGTTGAGCTGGATCTGGCCCATGAGCTTAGTTTGGTAAATCCTGATAAAAAACATCCAGCAATGGCTGAAACTTCCTAGTAACATAATGGAAATATCAGTACCATGTGACTGCAAGGCAGTGGGGCAGACATTAATTCCAACAGTAGTTCTGGAAGTGTTAGAACCAAGGGTGAGACCTCTCCCCACTCCCAAGCTCAGAGTTCACTGAAGAGACTGCTCTGAACCACCCTCCTTTGCTCTGACTAGAAACAGCAAGTATAAATCCCCAGCAGTTACTCATAAGCAATGGACCCATTCCTTTGTCAAGAACACCTAGTTAGGAGCAGGGGCTACAAAGATGGATGAACTATCACACGGGGACTTGAGAATCCAGTGGGGGACTAGGCCCATGTGACCACAGCACAGTGTGGTGAGGACTAGCGCCAACTGAGCAGGAGCTGTGGGAACACTGGCTGGAGTGGCACCGGGCACCGGGCACTCAGGAAACAGCATCCAACAGCAAGCAGCTGAGTATAAGCTGGGAACACTAAGTTCAAGCCCTTCAGGCAATAAGGACAGAAATGAACCAACGTTCCCAGATGGGAAAGCAGACCCTGCAGCAGCTCTTCCCCACCTTCCCAGGACAGTCTGTACACGTGCTGGCTGGTCGAAGGATCTCATCCAACGTGTCAAGAAAGATTCCCTGCCCAAAACTTGGCCTGTGATGCTCCCAGGGCTGATTCACTGCCTCTGGAATTGTCAGAAGATCTGAGCCCACTCCAGCCTCCTGCTCGCCTGCCTGCCCCAGCCAGCCTGGGATGGCAGTAACACGAGCGCCCCCTACAGACCCAGAAGGGTAAGAGGGAGGCTCTGTGGGAAGTGCAGACTCCACAAACCAACAGCAGGACTAGGGTTATTTGATCTTTATCCCACACATTTTTCACTTCCTGAGTGACAAATATGTGGGGGCCAATGAAACCCCTATTCTCCTGTACAAATACAATCCCTTAAGAATTCATTCAAACAGGATCCTCTTAATCAGGAACTCTCTCCTGGTACTCTCACAGGTCTCTCAGAAGCCTCACCAGAGCCAGTGTGATGGTGCCCACCATAATTCCAGCACTTGGGAGACTGAGGCAACAGATCTGTGAGTTTGAGGTCACTGTGGACTACATATGCCCCACCTCAGAAAACCAGAAACCACCCTCCTCCAAAAAGAGCCTTACGAGAACATCAGAAGGTGGTAGCAAAACATACTCCTTAGCCAAGGAGATGGCTGCTGCCACCACACAGATGGCAAAAGCCAACCACCAACTGGCTCAAGCAACCTCACTCCGACACGCTTCACTGCCTCACCAACCTTAGCAGTCCAAGTGTGTGCACACACAGCCCCTGGCTCAGCCCTGCTCCTGGCTCCCATCTTCTCTCCCCTTCCCACTCTTCTTTCTTAGCATTTAGCCACTTCTTTTGCTGTCTTTTCCTACCACTGCTGCTGGTATCTCGAGCCAGCCAACAGCACCTAAAGACATCACAAGGACTGCAGATCCTTATTTCTTTCTGAATTGTCAGAAGATCTGACCTCAGTGGTTTTGAGGGGCAAGGAAGGGGGAAGATTTAAAGGAACAGAAATATGTAACTGATACTAGAGAGATAAACATCTAATGTCAACCATTTGACTGTGTACATAGGAACTAGACTGCTACTAGGGCTATGAGTACAGCTGAGTCTTCCTCTGCTTTGCAAATATTTTGTGACATGACTATGTAACTAATAAAACTTCTAAATATGAAAACTCAGGAATAGTCTGATGTACTCAAAATTATGTGTGCGGTTAAGTATGACTGTTAAAAATTAGGAAAAATGTATATTTTAAATTTCTTTCCACCAATTCTAGGAAAGATAATTTAAGATCTTGCAAGTTCCTGATTTGCCCCACCAAAGTCACCCCCTCATGTTATGAAATGGCATGAATCTTAATATTTATAGAGCACCTACTATAAGGGCCAAATACTGAGCTAGGCACTCCGATGCTCTTTATCTTGTTTATCTTGCCACTACAATCTTGGAAGACTGGCACTGTCAGAAACTACAGCTGAGGGGGAGCCCTGACTTGCCCAGGGTCCCAGGGCTGGTAAACAGTACAGAGAAACCAGTTTCTCAAGCAATCCACCTTGGGTTGGGGTGGGGTCTTTTCATTAGGAGGCAATAGTGGAGAGCAGTCCCCTGATTCAAGGCTGTGTCACCCTCTTGGTCACCAAGGACTCTCAAAGCCTGGGCAAGTTTAAGAGGAGGAGGAGGATAGTAGCTGCCGATTTCTTGCTGGGCCAATGAGCAGCTTCTCTGACACTCACTTCCACTGCAGGGTAGAGAGCACTGCGTTTCCCACAATACTTGCAGGCTAACCACCCAAAGGGCCTTCTCCTCTGACCACGCGCTGAGTGACCTTCCTATGATGTAACTTCAGAGATCACTATTGAGACTGAAGGACTTGTCAGGCACAGTGGCACAGGCCTGTGATCCCAACCACTTGGGAGACAGGCAAGAGGATCACAAGTTCGAGGCTGCACTGGGCAACTTAGAGCCTACCTCAAAATGAAGTAAAATTATAAAAAGGGGTGAGGATGTAGCTCAGTGGTAGAGTGCTTGCCTTGCATACATGAGACCCTGGGTTCAATTCTCATAAAAAATTTAAAAAGCTTGAAGGTCTTGTTTTCCATATTTCTCCCCTCATCACCAAAACCCCTCAAACCACAAAGATGTTGCGAATTACCAGCAATCTCCTGTCTGCCTGTTACTTACATAGTTAATCTCATCAAGAAATATTTCCAGAGACCTACTGTGTTCCAGGAACTGCTTTATAATGTTGAATACTGTCTCTGCCTGCAGTATCCCCACACAGAAGTCCTGGGCATATTCATGTTGTGTTTTCTTTATAGTGAAATTTTGCAATTAAACAACTTTTGTCTTTAACATATGCTACCAAATATCTGAGAAAACTATTAAGAAAAATCACAAACTAAAGGCAAGAGGTGGGGAAAACACCACATTTTTATCGGTCTCTGGCCCCTGATAAATGCAGGAAACATTGTTTCTTCTTTAGGACTCACTGTTTCTAGGGAAACTGCACTTCCCTTCCCTTTTCTACAAGATGTGGGTGACCTGAGTCCTGAGCAGCATCTGTCTGGGGACAGCTGTGATAGAAGGGTTCTGACCAGGGCCCTACAAAGCCTGTCCCCAGCTGGCCAGGCCCAGGTGCAACACTCTCCCCTGCCAGGCCAACAGCCTCTCCAGGCCAGCTGCTCATGGATTTACGGTGCTCGTCTCAGGGGAACCTGGAGATTCTGTGTATAGATGAAACAGCGGGACATAGGCTGGCTACTAGAAAAAGGGCTTGCAGGACAAGGGCAGCTTCCTTTTACTCTGAGAGGTTCAGCCAAAAGAGCACCATGACCCTGGTGACTGAATGCAAGTGGGGAGATCTAGGGTCATGGCCAGCCGGCAGATACAGATGCAGACAGACTAGGCTTGCACACCCAATCTCCTACTAACTGCTGTGTGACCTTGGGCAGGTTACTTTGCCTCTCTGAATTCACTCTCCTGCTCTGTAATATAATAATAATAAATCCTACCTCACAGAAATACTGCACAAATTAGAAATCAAGTGTAGAAAGAACCTACTATAGAGTCTGGCTTACAGCTGTTGCTTAGTAACTGATAACTTATTGATGAAAGTAAGCCAGAGGGCTCCTGAAACAGTTTACCCTTATACACTAAGAACACTGTACCAAGGCCAAACCAGGAGAAAAGGTGGTCCAAGTAAACCTGCTGACAGATCTCACCCTGAGCCATGGAGAAGTTCCTGTAATAATTAATCCAAGCAAAAATCACACTCCCTAAAAGTTCAGAGAATATAAAAGGAACACTTCCTGCTTTATGGCTACAAACACCAAACTAACTGGGAATATCAGTCCCCCGGGCCACCCCTGCTTCTTAAATGAGATTACAATAAGAGTGATGTACTGTACTACAAGTCAGCTGTGACAAGCAGCACTTTATAGAGCTATCTGTTTGTCTCCATCACTGCATCGCACAATGTGTCCCTGGACTCCAATGTACAGCTCCATTTACCGCTACATGACAAATGGCCAGCACTTGTAAAAGGCACAAAGAGGTCCACGTCGGCCATGTAATGGTCACCACAGCTGTACCCCAGTGCTTGAGGGGACAAAACAGACCCCCAAGTTCATTAAACTGACCAGTAATGGATCTTTCAAAAAGTGCCTTAGGAATCGTACAGAAAAGGCTAAAATAAATAACTCAGCATGGAAGGCTAATCTGAAATGGTGTTTGATAAATTATTTATACCACAGGCGATTGTCTGCATTTAATATTGGAGCTACTAGTAGCATCTTTAAAAGATGATTTATGTGTTGTAATGCTATTAAACTTTATATTGGCCCACTGCTAGCTATAAAGTCTGCTGAGATTTAGAGAATGAGTTTTAAACTGTCACTGCAACATCATAGGAGATGGAGACTGTATTAAATCT